TTCACATAACACGTAGGAGCACGTAGGGTCAAATGAAGTGCAAATGAAGGATAGAGTGTACCTCCCTTGAAGCGACGCCCTAACGTAGTGAAATGACTAACTTACCCTCCAAAATAATAAAAAGGTCAAGGTACCACTTAAATTATCAAATAATCACATGAAACAAAAATTAAATATGAAAAATGAAAGCTAAACACTGAATTGAGTCAACTAAAGTATTTACATAGACAAACCAACCATGTACAAAGCAATTAATGCAAGAGGGACTTAATTAGAAGGACTGAAAATTTCTGAAAGAGAGTAAAATAAAATACCAAAATTGATGACTTAAGATGAGACCCATAAAAAATCAAATGCAAAAATGCGATTAGAACACAAATCCAGACTAAAAAAAAAAATCTATTAAAACTTATTGAACCTCAAAATGCATCCTAAAACTCACTAAACGTCTTACCCAAAATCATGTCAAAGCAAACCAAAAACAATTAAGATCCTAGAATGACAAAAGTGATTAAATTATTCAACTAATTGGACCATAACAAGACAAGGGGAAATTTAGGGGGTTAAAATGCAAGTGTTTTAGGACCTAATTGTAAGAACAAACACATAATTGGGCCCTTGAAACATAGATGGAAACTAAGGGGAGTAAAGCTGCAATTTTCTTGGACATTCTTCATGCAAAGCATGCAATTCACGTAGAAGACATTTTTCTTGCAGAATTTCTGTCATACTTCATCAACCGAAACAAAATTCCAGCACAGTTTTTCGAGAACAGATTTCCAGTCCAAATTCACAAATTTAAACTAGCAGCAAACTACACCATCTCTATCATCCAATCAAATAGGAAACTTAAAAAAAAACCATGCAAAATCATAAAAAAGTGGGCAAAACATTTGAAGAATGAAACTGCTGTAGCTTTCTTAGCTTCACATTCCAAGACCAGATTTCAGATTCAAGCAACCTTAACCAAAATTTCCTTGATCTAACACCTAAACTTTGAACTAAAAAAACAAGAAATGAATTTGACATCTAAACAAACAAGAAACATAGGAGAACTGGTGCAAAAGGTCACAAAAAAAAAACTCAAGCATGCTACAAACTCACGGTTGCATAGTCTCATTCAATTTCCTATCCATTTGGCCGAATCTATATTCATGCAAATAACCCAAGCATCTCCACTTGAATCAAAATGCAGAGACTTGAAGCAAAGGTAGGAGTAAGATCAAACAGGTTTTAAACTCAACATGCAACAAAAATGATTTGAGGAACAAGATTTTTCTGAAATTTTCACATGCCACGGCTTTTCTTTCCACTTCATGATGCTGGCCAGATTTCGATTCAAATACATGGCTCTGATCAGATGTTTTTCAATCCAACATTACAACCTTAAACTAAGCAACAAATTACACAATGATCACAATCCAAATGACCAGAAAAAATAGAAATGTATCGTCCCAAAGTTCTGAAAAATAAATGCAGAAATGGTTTTGGTAACCAGATTTTTCCTTTTCATCGTGCAGATCAAGTTTTGGTTCATAGACAAGGCTTTGATTAGATATTCCTCATTTCAATATCCCACTTTACTGAGCAACAAAAACCACATGATGATCACAATCAAATGACCAGAAACTTGGGGAAGGTACCACACGAAAATTCTGGAAAAGAATGCAGAAAAAGAAGAACAAAAACTCTCTTATCATTTCATAAACATAGGCTGAATACCAGAATTTTGGCTTGGGCATGTATATGGTGTATAAACTGAGTAACCAAGCACATCATTACCATCGTCCAAGCAGGCAGAAAACTTAGAAAAATCCCATGCAAAATTCTGGGCAAGTATGCAAACATTTGATGAACAAAACTGCTGCAACTTTTCTTAGTTTCACCTTCCAAGACCAGATTCATACATTTTTAGCAAGGTGTTTGATCAATAGTTCAAGTATTGTGAACCCCCAAACGTGCAAATTAGCATGGCACTCAAGTGTAAGGATCGATAAACAGCCACGGCAAAGGGAAGAAAACAGCACAGAAAGCACGATAGCTTTTTGTCTTGCTACTAATTTTGCAAATTCCAGTTTGTGCAGATTAAAAGCCGAAACATTGTATTAATCATTTACCCATCCCATTAAACTTCAAAAAACACTTGATTAATACAACACCAAAGGTAGGAAATAGAATCATTGCATATCAAATGGGCAACAGGGAACGACAGAGAGATGGAAACAAATTCGAATGGGTTCTGGGTTGTGAGTGCAACCATTTCCATCTAAGTGTAACTAGTGGCTTCAAACAACCCATCAAAATGGCAATGTGACCACTTATCCTTTCCAGCTCTTAGCTACCCAACCCTTGTGTTTCAATGTGACAAAAAAGGTACAGGACATGCAAAAATCTGGAATGATTAAAAGTTCCGCAGCCTTCATGCTTTGGATTTTGGCAATAATGCAAGGCAGTATAAACCTCATCTAACCCCTACTCTGAACATTCTAAGGCTCCAACAAAACAATGGGCAAGGTACAAAAATAGCAGGGAAAGATAAACAGCAAGAAACATTCCCACACATAAGCAACCAAAAATCGAACGAAGCTGTCCAAAAAGCTGTCGTTTTTCAGGATTGGTTCATTCAAACCCAACAGAATCGGCCATGGTCATTAAACAAAAAACGTCATGGATTCATCACACACCCCCACAGCTAAACACAAATCCTACCCGTCCCAAATCTCAGCCAAACCCACGCAGATTCACAAATAAAACTTGCAGGGAGGACGACAACAAGTGTAAAGGCAGAAACTTTCAACATGTTGACATAGCCCAACAACTCATAAACGTATTTCAAAGTGAGAAGCTGTTACCTTTAGGCTTCTTTTCTTCCGGCTGGGGCTTGATTCGACCAAAAGATGAGGTCTTTAGTCTCCTTCTTTCCCTTCTCTGATTTTCAGCCGAAGTCCTTCTCACAGCTCATCCTCGTTCTTTCTTTTGCTCTCTCAGCTATCTCTCACTCTTTCTTCTTCCCGTTAGCTTTTCCCCTATAACCGTTCCCTTTTGGTTCCAGATTTTTCCCCCTACACTAGCTCTCTGTGCTTTGTTTTTGCCCTGAAAACCCCTTTCTAAAACCCTTGCTTAGTTTTTCTGTTTGCCCGTCGATGCTCTCCCTCAAAAATCCCTCTTGCGGCTGATGCTTTTCTTTTCTCTTTTATATGGAACTCCAAGTTCCTTAAACCCTCCACTGAATGGTCAGGATGAAGGCCAGCCTCTGCCTTCATCCTGCCCCTCCATGGCACGCATGAAATGTCCTTGGCAAGCTGCAAAAAAAGAATGCAGCCTGCCTGCCGCAAACGTTTTCTCTTTTTTTTTTTTTTTTTTTTTTTTAAGAAAACAACTTGAAGATTACAGAAAATATAAATAATAAAATAACAATAACAATAATAACAAAATTACACAAACCAGGTAATAATAATAATAACAAAACAAAAATAATTTTAAACAAAAGAAACTAAACAAAAATGGCCATTTTTTAAAATTTCCAATTTTTCATTTTTCCATCATTTTCTTTTCCTCAAAATAACTTAATAAAAATAACTAAAGTGCCCAAAGATTGAATTTAAAGAAATAAACATATTTTTGCGAACAAATTTCCCTTTTTCTCTTTTTCCTCTTTTTTCATTTTTTATGATTTTTCATTTTCATTTTTCTTTCAAGAAAGCATTGAATAAAAACAAAATGACTAAAATGATTTTTCTTTTCTTTCTAAAAACTCTATAAACTTAAAAACTAAAAAAACTAAAAACTAAAAACTAAAAACTAAAATCTAAAACTTAAAAGTGATTAAAAACCTAAAATGACAAAATAAAAATGAATAGACAAACTAAAAGGGCAAAAATGAATAAAACTAAAATAAAATAACAACTAGAAATGCAAAACACACAACAATGAACTAAATGCAAGCGATCTAAAATAAAAATCATGAAGTAGATGCCACATATAAATTATTCAAAATTTGGTGTCTACAGTTTGCCCCTCTTTGTCTGAGTTTTGAAAAAACTTGAGACAAAGAAGTGGACACCAAATACTTACCTGTGTTATTGGGCTGCAAAAGATTCCGACGAACAGGAATTCTAATACGAGACTGACCCGAACATGAAAAATAAGACGGGACTGACCCGAACAGGAATTTAAACGGGACTGACCCGAACAGGAATTTAAACGGGACTGACCCGAACATGAAAATAAAACGGGACTGACCCAGAATTTAAACGGGACTGACCCGAATTTAAACGGGACTGACCCGAACAGAAATTTAAACGGGACTGATTTATGAACAGAAATTTAAACGGGACTTTAAACGGGACTGACCCGAACAGGAATTTAAACGGGACTGACCCGAACAGGAAATTAAACGGGACTGACCCGAACAGAATTTAAACGGGACTGACCGAACGAAATTTAAACGGGACTGACCCGAACAGAAATTTAAACGGGACTGACCCGAACAGGAATTTAAACGGGACTGACCCGAACAGGAATTTAAACGGGACTGACCCGAACAGGAATTTAAACGGGACTGACCCGAACAGGAAATTTAAACGGGACTGACCCGAACAGAATTTAAACGGGACTGACCCGAACTGACCCGAACAGAATTTAAACGGGACTGACCCGAACAGAATTTAAACGGGACTGACCCGAACAGGAATTTAAACGGGACTGACCCGAACAGAATTTAAACGGGACTGACCCGAACAGGAATTTAAACGGGACTGACCCGAACAGGAATTTAAACGGTTTCTTTCTTTCTGTCTCTTTTCGTCCTTCTCCGGCGCCTTTCCCTCTCCTTCTCCTCCTCCCCCCCCCGCTTTCCGCTCCGCTCCCCCTTTGCTTTTGCTTCCTGCCCGCCCCCTTTCCTCTCCTTTTCTCTTCCTTCTCTCCCTGCTCCCCCTCGGGTCCTTTTTCCCTTTCCTCTCCTTTTCTCTCCTTTGCCCCCTTCTCCCTTCTTGCTTTGCCTCTTTCCGGCTTTCGCCCCCTTCCGCCGCCTCCGTCCCGTCCCCCCCCCGCTTCTCCCTTCTCTTTCCGTTCGTTTCCCTTCCCGTCCCTCTCTTGCCTTTTCTTGCTCCCTTTCCCCGCGGTCCGCTCCGGTGCCTCGGCCCCCCTTCCTTCCTCCCTTCCGCCTTCCCCCTGTTTTTCTGCCCCCGCCCTCTCCTCCGGGTGGCTCCTCCCTTTCCTTCCCCTTCCCTTCCTCTCTTCCTCGGGGTCGGCCTTCTTCTTTTTCCGCCGGCCCCCCCCCTCTTCGTCGTCTGTGGTCTTTTCCGCGTGTTTTCTTGTTCCCTCTCGTCCTGCTTTTTTCCCTCCCTCTGTCTCTTCCGCCCCTCCCTCGCCCTTCGCTCTCTCCCTCTGTCTGGTCTTGGCTCCTTCTCCTGCTTTTCTTTCGCCTTCGGCTCTTTGCTCGCTCGCTTCCTTCTCTTCTGTCCCTCTTCCTCCTCCCGTTGGCCTTCTGGTTCTTCTCTCTCGTGCTCCTTCTCTGGCTCCTGCTCCCGCCTCTTTGCGCTTTTTTGCTTCTCTGGGTTTTTCCGTCCTTCCCTGTTCGGCTTCGTTCCTCGTTCGCCTTTGCTCCCCCTTTCTCTTTTTTGGGCCTTGGTTGGCCTGTGTTCTTCTTTCTTCCTCGGGTTTTGGTTTCCCCGCCCTCTTGCTGCCCCTGCTTGCCCCCCGCTTTTGTGCCTCCTCGTCTCGGGGCTTTTGGCTTCTTCTTCGGCCTTTTCGGTTTTTCCTGGCTCCCGGGTCGTTTTGCCTTTCGTGCTTTCTTCGCCCTCTTCCCTCCCTTGCTTCTGCTCCCCGTCCCTTCTTTGTTTGTTCCTTTGTGTGCTGGTCTCGTCTTTGCCGGTGCCGTTGCTCCCTCGCCCCCTTTCCCCTTCCTGTGTGTTCCCTGCTGCCCTGGCCGGGCCCCTCCTCTTTCTGCTCTTCTCCCCGCTGCTCCTCTGGTCGCCGCGGGCCTTTTTTTTGTCGCTCGGCTTCTTCCTCTTTTCCTCGTTCTCCCTTCCCTCCTGCCTTTTCTTTCGTTGCTCGGCCTCCTCCCCGTCTTCTTCGGCGCTCCTTTCGCTCTTGCTCCCCCGCCCTTCCCCGCGGCTTCGCTTTTTCCCCCTGTCTCCCTTGGGTTCTCTGCTGCTCGCTCTCGGTCTGGGCTCTTCTCGCCGTGCTTTCTTTCCTTTGCTTCCTCCTGCCTCTTCCCCCGCCTTCTTCTTTTTCGCTCTGGCTCCGTTCTTCCTTCCTGGCCCCCCTTGTTGGCTCTTCTCCTTCTCCCCGTCCCCTCTGGTTCTTCTGGGCGGTTTCCCCCGCTCTCCCCCTTCCCCCCTCCTTTTTTCTTCGGTCCCCTTTCTCTTTGTGGTCTTCCCCCCTTGGCTTGTTTTTGGTCCCCCGCTGCCCTTCTTCCTGCTCGTTGGTTGTCTTCCCGCTTTTCGCCCTTCGCTTGGGCTCCCGCGGCTTCCCGCCTTTTCTCTTTTTCGGCTCTCTTTCCTTCCTTTTGCCGGGCCTTTCCGTGTTCCTTTTCCCCCTTCCCTTGGTCCCGCCCCGTCTTTTTCTCTTCCCTCTCTCTCTGGGGGGGGCGCTTCGCCCCCCTTCCCCCCTTTTTCTTTCTCCCCCTGCCTCCTCTTGCCCGTTCTTCTTTTTGCCCCCGCCCTCTCCCTTGCTGCCCTGTTCGCCCTGTGCCCCGTCCCTTTCTTCCTCTTCCTCCTTTTGCGCCTCCCCCGTTTTCTTCCTCTCCTTCTGCCCCCGCCCTCCTCTGTTCTTCCCTTTCCTTCTCTTGGGTCTCTTTCCTTTGTTCGTTGGCTCTCTCGGCCTTCCTTTCCCTCCCGCCGGCGTCGCTTTCGCTCTCTTCTCCCCCTGGTTCCCTCCTCTCTCCCTCTTTTGCCCCCCCCGTTGCGTCCTTCGCTGGCTTGGTCCGCCTTTTGGCCCGCTCCCGTCTCTTCTGTCCGTCTCGCTTCTTTCGGCCTCTTTCTCGCCTCCTTTTTCTCTCCCCCCCCTCCTCCTCTTTCCCCCTTTTGCTTTCCTTCCTTCCCTTCTTCCCCGCGGTCCTCCGCCTTCTTTGGGCCCCCCTTCTCCCTGGCGTCTCTCCTTGGTCGTCTCCTCGTGCTTCCCTCGCTTCTTTTTCTCCCGCTCCTTCCCTGGCGCCTCCGCGGCTTGGCTCCCTTCCCTCCTTTTTTTGCTCGCCGGCTCGTTGCTGGCCTTCCGCCTGGTGTTGGTGTTCTTCCTTTCTTTCTCGGCGCCGCTCTTCCCTCTCTCGGTGGCGGGCGTCTCTCTTCTTCTCTTTTCTTCTCTTTCCCTTCTGTCTCTCTTTTTTTCTTCGTTTTTTTCTTCTTTCCCCTGCTTTGCTTCCCTCGGTTCTCCTCGCCCCGCGTCGTTCCCCGCGTTTTTTCCCCGCGGCCGCGTTCCTTTCTTTTCGCCGCTTTTTTCTCTTTTCCTTTCCCTTTTCTTGCTTCCCCTTCCTCTTCCGCTCCGCCTCCTCCTCCTCCTCCCTGGGCTCTTGTTCTCGCCTGTCTCTGTCCCGTGCCCGTGGCCTTCCTCCTTTGTTTTTTCCTTTCCCTTCCCTCGGCTTTCTTCCGTTTCCTCGCTTTTGTTCGCCTCCTCTTTTTCTTCCGCCCCCGGGCCGCCGCCGGCTCTTCTTCGGTGGCTCCCTCTTGTTCCTGTTTCGTCCCCTTCCTTTCGGCCGTTGTTTCTCTTTCTCCCTCCCCTTCTTCCTCCCTTCCCCCCCTTCTTCCGTTTTTGCGGTTTCTTTCCGTTTCTTCGTCCGCCTGGGGGCCGGTCTTCTGCCTCCCTCGTCGCCCCGGTCCTCCCTCCGCGCCTCCTCCCGCTCCGCGCCCTCCCCTTCTCCCTTCTGCCCCCGGTCCTTCTTCGCTCGCCTGTCCTTCTTCGCTCTCCTCGCCTGCTTTTGCCGTCTCCCGCCTCCTCCCCCTCCCGCCCTTTCCTGCCTCCCTGTGCCCCCTTCCCCCCCCCCCCTCCTTGTTCCCCTCCCCTCTTGTTGTTGCCTCGCCCTCTCTCCCTGTTGCCTCCTCTGGCTCCCCTTGCCCTTGGTCCCTGCCCTCGTTGCCTCCTTGCCCCCTGCGCTTCTTCCGGCCTCCCCTTGCCTGCTGCGCTTGCGCCTTCCCTTTCGGGTCGTCGCTCCCTCCTCCCCCGTGTTTGTGCTTGTTCCCGCCGCCCTGCCCCCCCGCTCTGGTCGCGCTCGGCCCGTTCTTGTCTGCGGTCTCCCCCCTGCTCGCTGCCGCGGCGCCTCCTCGCTCGCTCTGCCCCTCCTGCGCTGTCCCGTCCTCCCCCCGTTGTTGCTGCTCCCTTCTTCTCGGTTCCTTCTTCCTCCCCGCGCTCGGCGCCGGCCGCGCTCCGCGGGCCCTCTGGCGCCTGTGGTCCGCCCTCCCTCCTCGCGTCCGCCCCCCCGCCCGCCTTGCTTCTCTTCCTGCCTCCGGCTCCTCGCTTCCCTCGTCGCCCCGCTTGCCCCCTCCTCCCCCCTCCCTTCTTTCTTTTCTCTTGCCCTTTCTGGCTTCTTCTGCTGCTTTTTTCCCTTTCCCTCTCTCGCCCCGCCTCTCGCCTCGCCCCGCCCTCTGTTCTGTCCTGCCCCCCCGGGCTCTTCCCTGCCTGGCCTTGGGGTCTGGCTGGCCTCTCCTGCCCTCGCGCCCCTTTGCGTTTCCCTCTGCCCTGCGGCCTGGCCGGGCGCCCCTCCGCCGCCGTTCCGGGGGTTCCGCCGGCCGCTTCTCGCTCCTCTTGGTCCTGGTTGCGCCCCGGCCTTGCCCTCTCTGCGCTCTCCTCTCCCCTTGTTCCTCCGTCGCTCCGTGGTCGCGCGGTCGGCTGTTCCCGCTTGGTCGTCGGTTCGCCTCCTCCTTGGGGCGCTTTGCTTTCTTCTGCCTTCTTTCCTTCCGCCTCCCGGGGCTCGCTTTGTCCGTTCCGCGTCGGTCCCCGTTCCTTGTCTTTGCCTTCTCTCTCCTCGTCTCCCTTCTGCGCGCTTTGCCCTCCCCTTCCTCCCTCGGTGTCGGTCCGGGCTCCTCCTTTGTTCCCTCGCCCTGGGCTCTTTCCCCCTCGCCCTTCCGCCTTCTCCGCTGTCCTCGTCCTCGCCCTGCCTCTTTGCTGCCGTCCTCGCTTCTCCGCGCGGTCCCCCTTGCCGCGCGCTCTCCGCCGGCTTTTTTGTTCTGCTCCTCCTCCTTGTCCTTGCTCTGCTCTTCTGCCCCCGCCCCGCCTGGCTGCGGCCGCTTTCCGGCGCGTCCCCCCCCTCGGTTGCTGGGGCCGGGGCCTCCTCTGTGTCCTGCTCCCCCCGTTCCCCCCTCCCCCGCCCCCCTTCCCTTTCGCCCCCGCCCGCCCCCCGTTCCCTCGCTTTTGGTCCGCTCTCCCCCCCTTCTCCCCCCCGCGGGCCGGGTCCTTCCCCCTTGGGCCGGTTGTGGGCGCGGCGGGCTTCGCCCCGCCCCGTGGTTCGTCGCCCCGTGCTCTCCTCCTCTGCGCTCCCGGCCCCCCCTCGTCTCCCCTGGCTCTGTTCCCGTCCCCTCCCCCGGGCCTCCTCTCCCCCGCCCTTTCGGGTTCCGCCGCTGTGCCCGCGCGTTTCTCTCTCTCGCCCGGTGCGTTCCGCGGTGTGCCGTGGGCGCGCCGGGCTGTCCTCCTTGGGGTTTTGCCTCCGCCGCCCTTTTTCTTTTTCCTTTTTTCGTTTTCCTCTCTTGCCCCCGTCCTCCGTTTTCGTTTCCTCTCTTGCCCCGTCCTCCGTTTTCGTTTTCCTCTCTTGCCCCGTCCTCCGCCTGCGCGGTCTTCCGCTTTTTCTCCTCCTGGCGTCGCGCTCTTTTTCCGCCGGCCCTCCCCTCCCGTCTCGTCCCCGCCGTCGCGTTTCCCCCCCCGTTCGGGCTGGCTTGGTGTGGTTCCTCTCCGCCTCGGCCCCCGCCTCTCGCCTCCTGCCCGCCGCCCGGCCTGCGCGCCCCGTCTCTTGGCTCGTGCTTCTGCGGTCCCCCTTCTTGCCTGGGGGGCCCCCCCGGCCTCTGCCCTTCCCTCCCTTCGCTCGCGCGGGCGGGCGGCGCTTTTGGTTTTTTCCTGTTGTCCCCGCGTTGCCCCCTGTTTTTTCCTGTTGTCCCCGCTTTGCCCCCTGCCCCTCGCTGGCGCGTGCCTGCTCGCCTTGCTCCGGTCCTGTCGGCCCCCGGTTCCCGTCTCCCGGTCTGTTCGGCTGCCTCCGCTGCCTCCCTCCCTGCCCTTCCCCTTGCCCCTCTCGTCCTGCTCCCCGGCTCGTCTCGCCGTGCCCTTCTCTTGCCTTCTCCCCCTTCTGTCGCTCCCTCCCCGCCGGGGCCGCGCCCCGTCGCTGTCTCGGCTGTGCTCCCGGCGGCTCTGGGGCCGTCGGCCTCGGCGCGCCCTCCTCTTGGGGTGGGCTTCCTCCTTCGCTGCTTTCCGCCGTTCTCCGCTCCGCCCTTGGCTCCCCCGCGTTTCCCGTGGGCCCGCTCCCTGGTCCCCCGCGGTGCGTCCTTCCCGGTCCTCTCGTCCTCGGGCCCGGTCCTCTCCCTGCTCTCCCGCCCCCCGGCTCTGGCCGCCCTGTCTCCCGCCGTTCTGCCCCCGCTCCCGTCCCGCTTTCCTGGGCGCCCCGCCCCCCTTGGCCCCTCCTCCCGCCCCCGGTGGCGCCGCGCCGCCCTCGCGGTGCCCCCTTCCCGTCGCTGTGCGCTCTTGGGGCCGCTCCGCCTGTTCTCCCTCGCGTCCCTTTTCTCCGTTGCGCGCCGGCCCTTCCCCTCGGCCCCGTCGGCTCCCTCCGGCCGCCTTTCGTCCCTGCTCGCCGGGTGGGTCTTGCCGTCCCGCTCCCTTCTGCCTTTGCCCTCGCGGGCCCCTCTCCGTCCGGCCCGCGGCCCCCTTTGCCCGCCTCCGTTCCCTTTTGGGCGGCCTCCGCCCCCTCCCCCTGTCTCCCTGCGCCTGTCCCTTGGCCCGTCGGTCCTGCCCCCCGGTTCGCCTTCTCGCTCTTCCCGCGTGGTCTCTCCCTGCTGGCTCGGCCCCCCGGCCGGCGGCCTTCTTCGCCTTCCCCCTCCGCTGCGCCGGCCCCCCCGCCCCTCCCCGGGCCCCGTGCCGCTTCCTCGGGTCTTTCTGTCCCGGTGCCGGTCGTCCGCCTCTTCCCCGCCCTGTCTCTTTCCCGCGCCTCTCTCCGCGCCCGTGCCCCGCTCGTTCCGCCTTTCGTGCGGGTCGGCCCTTCCCCGCCCGGCCTTTCGCTCCCTTCGGCCCGTTCTCGTTCCGGCCGCCGTTCCCGGGGCTTCGGTCGCCGGCTCCCCTGTTCTCCGGTCCCCCCTTCCTTGCCCTTCCGGCCCTGGGCCGGCGTCCGCCCCCCTCCCTGGTCTTCCGCCTTTGCGGCGCCCTGTGTTTTTGGTCCCCCGTCGCCCGGGCCTGGTCCCTGCGCCCCCCTTTGTGCGGCGGCCCCCTTCTCCCGCCGTTCCGGGGCTCTTTTGCCGCGTTCCTTCGCGCGCGTTGTCTCGCGCCCCTCGGTCTTCTCTCCCTCCCCTGTGTCGGTTTCGGGTCCCGGTCCCTTTTTGTTTCCCGTCCTTCGCGCTTTTCCTGGGCGTCTGGCGTGGGTTCCTTCCGCGCCGTCGCGCCTGGTCCTCGCCCCTTGGCTCGCGGCCTTTTCTCTCCCCCTTCTTCCCTGCCCCCGCCGGGGCCCCTTCCGTTCTTGCCCCGCTCCCCTCTTTCGGCTCCCCTCGCCTCCTCCGTCCTCGGGCCCGCCCCCGGTCGTCCCGGCCTCTTCCCCTGTTGTCCCTCGCCTCCGCCTTTCGGCCTGCTCTTCGGCCCTGCCTCCCCCTCCGTGGCCGCCCTTGCGGCGGCCCCTTCGGTTTTCGGGGCCTTGGCTTCTCCCCCTGTTTGCGTTCCTCCCGCCGCCCTTCTCGCTTCCGCTTCGTCCCCTGCCCTGCTCGCGCGGCGGCTTCTCTCTCCGGCGGCCCGCTCCCCTCCCGCTGTCTTTTTCCCTCCCCCCGCTTCGGCCGCTCGCTTCGCCGCCCGTTCCTTCTTCGGCGGCCCGCGCGCTCGCTCCGTGCGCTCTTCCGCCCTCTTTCCCGGGTGGCTGCTTCTCGCCCCTCCTGGCTGTCTCTGCCCCTCCTCCTTTCTCCCTGCGCGTCCTTTCGGGGCCTTCGCTGGTGCTCCGGGCTGTTTCCCTCTCGCCGCTGCCGCTTCTCCCCCTCGTCTCCCTGGCCGCCCTTGCCCCTGTTCTTTTGCGGTCCTCTCTCGTCTTCCGCGTTTGCCTCGCTTTGGTCCCGCTCTCGCGCCCGCCCCGCCCCGTGCTTTCCCCTCGCTGTCCCGTCCCCTGCTGCGCTCCCCGCCTTTCGGGGCGCCCCCGCTCGCTCTGGGTTCGCGTGGCCTTTCCCCCCCCCCCCCCTCCGCTGCTTCTTCCCCCTCCGTCGTTCGGCCCTCCCCTTCGTTTCCCCCCGCTTCCTCCTGGTCCTGGCTCGCTCCCCCCGGTTCGGGTCCCTCCGCCGTGCCCCTTGCCCTCTGCCGCCTCGCTTTCGCTCCGGCTCCGGTGGGTTCCCTTCCCCCGCCCCTGCCTCTGCGTCGCCGGCTCCTTCTTCCCCCGGCCCGCGGTCCGCGCCCTGGGCTCCTCCCCCTGCTTGGGCGCTTCCGGTTTCCTGTTCTCTTTCCCTCCCCGCTGGGGTTCTTTTCCCGCCTTCCCTCCCGGTCCTCCTTCGCTCTCGGTCCCCCGGCGTCTTTCGCCTTGCCCGGTGGTCCTTGCTGCTTCCCCCGGGCTTCCCCGTGCCCCTGCTCCTCGGGTCCGCGCGTCCGCTCGTGCTGCTTTCGGCTCCTGGCCTTTCGCCCTCTCGGGTGCCGCCTTCGGCTGCTTCGCCTCGCCGCCCGCCCCTTGTCTTGCTCTCCCCCCCCCGTTTTCCCGGTTTCGGCTGCTCCCCTTTCGCTCGCCGCTCCTCCGGGCCTCGCTTTTGCTTTCTTTTCCTCTGGCTCCTCCGCTGTTTCCGTTCGGCCCGGTTGTCTCTTGCCTGCCCCTGGCTTCCGCCGCCGTTCGCCCGGTTGCCCTCTTCGGGCCTCTCCGGCTCTCTGCTTCTTTTCCCCTCCCCGCCGCTTTCGTCGCTTCCTCCGCCTTCCTCGTCTCTGGGTGCCTCGGTCTCCCGTCCGCCTTTCCTCGTTTGCCCCTCGCCCTTCCCTTTTCTTTTCCGGCTCTGCCCTCCTCCGGTGCTGCTCCCTGGCTGGCTCTTCTCCCCGTCCCTGCCTGCTCGCTCCTCGCTCGCCCCGCCGCCTCGGCCCCCTTGGGTGCTCTCCTCTCGCTTTGTCTCGGCTCCGTTCCCGCGTTGGCGCTCCGCGGCCTCGCCCCGCTGCCCTCCGCCGCCGGGTCCCCCCCGCTCTCGGGCCCCCCGCCTGCTTTTCCCCTCGCGGCCCCGCTCGCCCCTCCCTCCCCCCCGCCCCCGCTTCCCCCTTTCCTCGTCCTGTGGCTGCTCCCCCGCGCCCCTCTTCTCCCCTCTCCTTCCCCCGGTGCTGTGCTGCGTTGGCCTCCCCTTCTCCCTCCGGCTTCTTGTGGTTCCGGCGGCTCCCGCTCCCGGCGCCCCCGGCCCGGCGCGCTTTCCCCCCCCCTTCCGCCCGCCTCTTTGGTCGGTCTTCCGCCCGCTGGTTTTCCGCCTGCGTGCTTGCCCTTCTCCGCCCCTTCCTCCCCCCGCGGCCCGCTCCTGTGTTCCCCTTCTTGCCCCGGGTTCTCTGGTCGGTCCGTGCCCCTGGCTGCCGCCGGCGTCCTTGGGGTGCTCTCGTCGTTCCTCCGGGGTGGCGCTGCTGGGGTCGGTCCCTGGCTTTTCCTTCCTTTTGCCGCCTTTCGCTCCCGGGTTGCCGGGCGCTCGTGCCGCCCGCTGTTCGCCCGGGCCCCCTTGCTCCCTTCCCCCGGGCTCTCCGCTGCGGGCCCCTGGCGCGCCGCCGCCTCCCCCTCCCGTCCCTGTCCGCTCCTCCTCGCTCTGCCCCCCTGCCCCTCCTCCCTCCTCTCCGTTCTTGCCCGCCTCTCTTTGTCTCCTCCGTCGCGTCTTTCCGTGGCCTGTTTCGGTCCTCTTCCCCCTTCTTCGCCCCGTGCGCCCCCCGTTCCGGTCCCCGCTCCTCTCCTTCCCGCCTGGCCCCTTCGCCCTCCCCCCGTCCTCGCCCGCCCCCTTGCCCGGGCGGCGCTCTCCCCCTGCGCTCTCTCCCCGCGCCGCGTGGCGCCTGCCTGCCGTCGTCCGCTGCTTCTTCTCTTCTTTTCCCTGGCGCCGCTGGGCCCTCCTGGCCTTGCCCCCGCGCCCTCGCCCGTGCCGTCCCTCCTCGCCCCTCCGGTCCCCCCCTTGGGCGCGCCTCCCTCGCTTCCTTTTCGGGCGCGCTTCCTCCTTCCGCCCGCCGCCTCCCCTCTCCGTTGTCCTGCGCTCTCCCCGTGTGCTTGTTCCCCCCTTCTTCCTTCCTCTGGCCCGTCTTTGTCCCCTCCGCTGCGCCGCCCCCGCCGGCCTTCCGCGCCCCTCCTGGCCCCCCCTCGCCCCTCTCCGCTCCTTTTTCCCCCTGCTCCCCTTTCGCGTCCCGCGCTCCCTCGCCCCTCCCCTTGCCCTGCTCGGGGCTTTCGTCGTGCCTGCGGGGGTCGCCGCCCCCGCCGTGCGTTCTTTCTCCCCCGCCTTCTTCTTCCGGCTCGCTCCCCTCTCTCGGTCCCTGCGGCCGGGCCCCCCTTTCCTGCTCTTCCTTTCGGGCCGGGCGGCTTCGGGCCCTCCTCTTGCTTGCCGCTTTCTCCCGCCCCCCGGCCCGCCCTGCCCCCCCGGCTCGCCTGCTCCGCTCCTCCGTCCCCCGCCTGCCCGGGGTGCTCTCGTCGTTCTTGGTCTGTGCCGCTGCGTTGTTCGGTGCTCCCTTTTTTCCCCTTGCGGCCGCCCCTCCCCCTGTGCTCGCGCGCTCGCTGTCCCTCCCCTGCTCCGGGCTGTCTGGCTTCTCGCGCCGCGCGGCGCCCCGTTGGTCCCCCCCCGGCCCGCCCGGCTCCCGCGTGCCTCGCCCGTTGGCTCTCCCTTGGCTCTCCCCCGCCTCGCCCCCTCTCTCCTCCCGCGCGCGGTTTGGTTTCCCCCCCGGTTCGCCCCGGCGGCGTCCGCCCTGCTCCTGTGCCTTGGCTGCTCCCCCTCTCCGGGTCCGGCGCCGCTGCGCCCCTTGCCCTCTCCCTGTGGCTGCGCGCCCTCCCCGCCCCGGCCCCCGCCGCCCTTCTCCGGGGCGCGCTCTCCCCCTGCGCTCCTCGCCCGTCGTGCGCGCCTCCCCCGGGGCCCGCTCTGCCCCCGCGCGCGCCCCCCCCTCCCTCTCTTTCCTTTTTTCGCCCCCCTGTCGCCCCCCGGGGGGGCCCGGGGCCGTCCCCCCGGGGCTCCTCTCCCCTTGTTCCGCCCTCGGCTCCTCCGCTCCTGGGCTTGGTCTTCCTTCCCCGTCGCGCCCGGCCCGCCGCCTTCCCTCTCCCCGTTTCCCTCCGCCGTCGCTCCCTTCTTTTTGGGTGTGCCGCGGTGTCCCCCCCCCTCCCCCCCCGCCTTCGTTCTCCCTGCCCCGGCGGTGCTCCCGCGCCCCTTCCCGTCCGGCTCCCTTGTTCCGCCTTCCCTCCCGTCCCTCGCCCTGCCTTCGGCCTCCCCTCCTTGCGGTTCCGGTCCCGCCTTCGGGCCTGGCCCGCTCCCTCGTGTGCCGGGCGGTGTGTCCCCGGCCCGGCCCGGCTTCCCCCGCCGTCTGGCTGCCCGGCGCTTCCTCGCGCTTCCGGCTTCCTGCCGGCGCGTTGCCGCCTGCCCTCCGCCCTGCGGCCGGGTTTTTGGGGTTCGCTCCCCCTCGCGGGCTCGCGCCCCTTTGTCCCGGCCCTTGTCGCCCGTGTGTCGCCCCGGGCCTCCGGGGCCTGCTGCCTTGCCGTCCTCCTCCCCTTCCTCCGGCTTCTCCCCGGCCGTCTGTTCCGGGTTCCCCCTCCCCGCTGGCCCTCCCCCCGCGGGTTGCGCTCGTTGCGGGCCTTCCCCCCCCCTTCCGGCCCGCGCTGCCGCCCGCCCTGCCCCCCTGTGTCCGCGTTCCCGCCGGCCCCCTCTCTTTCCCGCGGGTTCGCGGCCTGTCCCGCCCTGGTCCGGTTCTTCGCTTTGCCTCGCCTTCCCCCCCTGCTCCCCGCTTGTGCGGGCCCCCGTCCCTTCCTTTGCGTTTCCTTCTTGCGCCCGTCCTCCCCGGGCGGGCTCCTTCCCGCGTTCGCTCCCGCCCTGCCCGGGTCGCTCCGCCCGCGCCTCGTCTCCCTCGTTTCCGGCTCGGCCTCCTGGGGTCTCTCCTCCCCTTCGCTCCCCTCGCTTTCGTCTCTCCGTGTCCGTGTCGGCCCCGCCGCGTGCTTTCGCCGTTGGTGTTCTTTCCGCTCTCTCCGCCTTTCCCCGCTCCCCCGGCCCTTCCCTCTGCCCCTCCCGTCCTCCCGCTTGGTCGTTTCCCCCGCCTGTCCCGGGTTGCGCCCTGGGCTTTGCCGGCGGCCTTCCCCCGCCCCCTCCCGCCGCTTTCCGCCCCCTCCTTCCGGCTCCCGCTTGCCTCCTCTGTCTTCCCGCGGCTGCTGGCCCCGCGTTCGCCGCTGCTTCTTCCCCGCTCCCGTCCTTGCTTCTTCTCCGGGCCCCGCCGTTCCCGCCCCGTGGGCCTTCTCCCTCCCCGCGCCTTGCTCCGTCCGGCTTTCGCCCCTTGCGGCCCCTTCCCCCCTGCTGCCTCCCGTCGGCGTCTGGGCCGTGTCTCCGTCCCCGTGTGGCTGCTCCTCCTCTCGGCCCCGCTCCTGCTCCTCGTCTTGGTCCGCTCTTCCCCTCCCCCCCTCGCTCCTCCGCCGCGCGCGCCTCCTCGGGCGGCTTCCTCCTTTTGCTCCTCCGCCTCCGGGGTCTTCGCCGCCGTTTCCCGCTGTTGTTCCCCTCCCCCGGCCGGTTCTTCCGCGTTCCTCCCCGTCCGCCCCTGGCCCCCCCCTTCCCGTCCGCCTTGCCTGTGTTCCGCCTGCCGCCCGCGTTCCTCCTGCGCCCGGCTCCCCCTCTCCCTGCGCTTCCTCGTTGCCATTCCTTCTCGCTTCCTTGTTCGTCGCCCCGCGGCTTCGGCCTTTTCTTTCCTTCCCCGGCCTCCCTTGTCTCCCTGCGCTTCCTCTTCGCCCGGCGTTCGCTCCCGCCCTCTCGCCCTCCCTGCCCCCTCCCGTCCCTCCCCCGCGCCTCTCTCCCTTCTCCTTGCGGGGCCCCGGCCCCCTCGCCCCCTCCCCCTGGGTTTCGGGCTCCTCCGGCTCGCCCTGCTGCCTTCCCCCCGTCCCGGTGCCCCTCTCCCGCTGCGTTCTCTCCCTTCCCTGCCCGCCTCGCGCCCTCGCCCTGCCTCCTCCTCCGTCCGTCCCGGGTCGCGCCCCTCCCCGCCCTCTTCTTGCCCCCTTGGCGCCGGTCCTTCTTTTCGCCCTCTTCCGGCTCTGCCCTCCTGGTCCCCCTCGGCTTCCTTGTCCCCTGCCCTCTCGGCCCTCGGCTTGCCTGCCGCTTCCGCCGGCCCTGGCGTTCCCTCTCGTTTCCCTTTCCCTTCCCGCGTTCTTCTGTGTTTCCCCGCCCTTTGCGCCCCGCCCCCTGGCCCCTTCCTTTTCTTCGGCCCCCTCCCGCTTCGTCCCTCCCCCGGCTCCTGGTCTCCCCCTTCCCTCCTTCCTTTCTGCCTCTTTCTGCCTTTCCTCGTCCTCGCCCTCCTGTCCTCCCGCGCCCGCCTTTGTCCCTTGCTCTCCTCTTGCCTCGCCGGCCCCGCTTTCCCTCCGTGGCCCGGCTGCTTCCTTCGCTCGCCCTGCGCGTCCCCCTCCTTGCCTTGCCCGCCTCCCTGTTGTCTCTTTGCCCGCGGTTGCCTCCTTGCTTCTCTCCTGGCCCCCCCTCTTCCCGCCGCGCCTCCTTTCTCCTCGGTCCCCCGCGCCCCCCTGTCGGCCGGGTGCCCCCCGTTCCTCCCGGCCGCCGGGCCTCCCTCCGCCGGGCTCCCCCCCTCCTCCTCCTCTCCTCGCCTCTCCTCCTCCTCGCCTCGCCGCCTCGCCCCGCTGTCTTTTCTGTCTCCTTTCCCCGGTTCCGTTGCTCCCGCGGGCCGCTCCTCGGCTTCGCTCGCTCTCCCTTCCCCCTCGGTCCTCGCCCGGCTCTCGGCGCCCCCCCCCGTCCGCCCGCCCGGCTCTTTCCGCCCCCGGCTTCCTCTTCGCCGCGTGCCTCCCCGCCTGGCTCCGCTCCCCTCCCCCGTCCCTTTGGGCTCCCCTTCGCGCTTTTCCTTGGGCGGTCTCGTGCCCGCCTTGGCCTGGCCTCCTCGGGCTTCCTCCCGCCGCCCCGCTTCTCTCTTGCTTCCCCCCTGTCCCTCTGGGCTCGGGCTCGCCGCCGCGGCCCCCCCGCCGCTTTCCCCTCGTCCTTTGCTCGCCCCTCCCTCTGCTTTCTTTCGTCCCCCTTGTTCCCTGCGCCCTGGGTCCCCTTCTCCCGGCTCCCCCTCTGGGCCTTCCGGCCTGCTCTCCCCCCCGCGCGGCCCCTCTTCCCTTTCCCTCCCCTGTTCCCTCCCCTCCCGTCGCCGCCCCTCGCTTCCCCTCCCCCCTTCCCCTTTGCCCCGGCTCTTTCTGCTTCTCGCCGCCTGCGGGGCCCGCTCTCTTGTTCTTCTTCTCCGCTCGTGCTTGGCTCCGTCTCTGTTTGTTCCCGCGCCTCCTCTTCTCCTTTGCGCCTCCTCCCCCTGGCCCGTGTTCCCTTGGCCCCTGCCCGGTGCCTCCCTTGGTCCTCGTTCCTCTCCTCTTCGGGCCGGCGTGGCCGCCGGGCGGGGCTTCTCGCCCGCGGCCCGGGCTCCCCTGCCTTCGCCCGCCTTGCCCGCGGCGCCGTCTGCGGTGCCCCTCTCCCGTCCGGTTCTGTCGCGTGGCCGTCCGGGTGGCTTCTCTGTCCCCTTTTCCCCTCTCCCCCCCCCCCCCCCCTCTGCCTTCCGTCCCGTTGCCCGCGTCCGCTTCCCTCTGGCTTTGCCCTCCCTGCTTCTCTCCCGGTCTTGGCCCTCCTTTCCCCGCCCCTTCTGTCGTCTTCGTCCGCGGGGGCCGGGTTCCGGCTTTCCCCGGTGTGCGCTCTCCCCTTGTTCGCGGCCCCCTCGCTGCTGTCGGCGTCCCGGCTCGTCCCCCCGGGCGTTCTCGTGCGTTGTCGCTTCTTCTCCCCGCCTTGTCTCCTTTGCTGCTGCCCTGTGCCTCGCTCGCCCCCTGTGCCGTGTCTGGCTCCCCCTCCCGCCCGTTTCGTCCGGGCCTGGCGCCGGCTCCCCTGCGCCCCCCTCTTCTTTCTCCCGCGCTTCGCTTCCGCCCTCTTCTCTGTCCCCGGTTCCCTCTTGCCCTCCTTTCCGCGGTTTTCCCTGCCTTTGTCCGTGTCCCCCCCTTCGCCCTCCCTCGCCTTTTTTCGCCCCGGTCCGCGTCCCCTCGCCCTGCTTCGCCGCCCTTCTTTTTCCCCTCTTTCGGCCCCCTCCGGCCTCCCTCGTCTGGCTCTGGCCCTCCCGGCTTTCCCCTCCTCGCCGGCCCGGGCTCCTCCCTTTCCCGTGCGTCCCCGCCTTCCCTCCTCGCTCTCCTCGCTCCCTCTCGCCTTTTGCGGCCCGCCGTCTTCGCTGCCCGTCGTCTGTCCGGCTTGGCGGGCGCTCTTTCCTCTCTTTCGCGCTCCCCCCTCCCTCTGGGGTCCCCCGCCCCCTCCGTGCTTTTCGCCCTTCTCCCCCGCCCCTGCTTCTTGCCCCCTTCCCGCTCCTGTCCCGTCGCGGTGCTGCCGCCGCCCCCCGCCCCTCCGCTCCCTTTCTCGCCCTCGCTTCGTTCCCCTGTTGGTTCCCCGTCTTCTGCCCCCGGCCCCCCTCCTTGGCTTCTCCCCTTCTCTCTCGCGCCGTGCCCCGCTTCCCCCCGCCCGCCCCCCCTCCCTCTCTGTTTTCCGTCCCGCCCTCCGTGGCGTCCCTCCCGCTCTCCCCGTCCCCGCCCGCCGTGTCGGCGGCTCGCCTCCTCCCGTTCCCCTTGCCCTCGGCTCCCCCCGGCCCCGCCCTTGCCCTTCGTTGGTTCTTCGCGGCCTCCCGCCCCGTCCGGGTCGCCCTCTGGCTTTCCCCTTCCGTTCCGCCTTCGTGGCTGCTGCCCCCGGGCGTGGCGCTGCCCTCCGCCCCCCGGCCGCGCCTCCTCGCCTGGCCGCGGCCCCTCGCGCTTTTGCCCTTTTCGTTCCTCCCTCCCCGGCTCTCTCCCTCTCGCCCGGCCCCGCCTCCCGCGCCCCCGCCCGCCTCGCCTTGCTCGCTCGCTCTCTTGCCCCCCGCCCGGCCCCGCCCGCTGCCCCTCCCTCCTGGCTCCCTCCGCCCTCTCGGGGCCTTTCTTCCCTTCCCGCGGCCCTCCTGTCCCTCCCTGGCCTCGGGGTTGCTCCTCTTCCTGGCGCTTCCGTCCCTCTTCCCTTCCCCCCTGGCCCGTTCGCCCCCCTTGGGCTTTTTTTTGGCCCTTGGCTGCCGTTCCTCCTTCCTGCTCTGGCCTGTCCCGCCTGCCCCTTCCTTCTCGCTTCTCCGCGCCTTTTTCTGCCCGCCTTTCCTTTGCTTCTCTTCGCTGGCCGTTTGCTTTTCCCCGCCTGTCTCCTCCTTTTTGGCCTCCTTCTTCTTCTGCTGCTCGCTTCCTCCTCGGCTCCCCCGCTCTCCCTTGGTTCTCTTTCCTCCCTTCCCCCGTTTCGTCCTGCGCCTCCCGGCCCTCTTGTTCCGCTGGCGCGCCGCCCCTCTGCTTCGCTTTTCGGGCCCTTTCCCCCGCCCCCTTTCCCCGCCCTCTTTCCCTTTCTTCTTTTCCTCTGTTCCCTCTCTGTCTTCCTCTCTCCGTCGCGTCCCTTGCCTGTCCCGCCCTGGCTCTCCCCGCGTTTCTCTTCTTCGTCTTCCCGCCCTCCTCGGCGGCCTGTTTTTTGCGGTGCTCCCGCTTTCCTCCCTCTCTTTGTCGCTCCCGCCTGTTTCCGTTTCTGCTCCTCCCTCTTCTCTGGCTCTCCCCCGCCCGCTGTCCGGTCTCCTGCGGCTCCTCTGCCCTCTTTCCTCCTGGGTGGGGCCCGCTCTTCTCTTCTGGTTCCTGGTTTCTCTTGGCTCTCTGGTTCCTCTGGGGGCGCGCTCGCGCTTCCCGCCCTCGTGCCTGGTCTTCTCCCTCCCCCCTGTCTCCCTCCCCGGCCTTTCCCTTGCGCTCCTCTTCCTCCCTGTCGGCCTTGGGTTCCCGCTTTCCCCGCCCCTTCTCCTCCCTGGCCTCCTGCCGTCTCCGCCGGCGTGCGGTTCGTTCGCGCCCTTCCTCCCTCTCTCTCTCTCTCTGCGCTGTTTGGCTTTTTCCCCCCTCCCTGGCCCTGCCGCCGCGCCCTCCTCCCCCCTCGGCCCCGCCCGCCCTTTTCCTTGTTCCCCTCCCCCTTCCGGTGCCGCCGGGTCCCGCCCGCCGCCTCTCTTTCTGCTCCCCCGCTCCCTTTTGTCCGTTCGTTCTTCCGGGTCGTTCCTCCCCGGCTCGGCCTCCTGCCGTCTCCCCTCCTTGCCTTCTCGCTGTCGCTGCTCCCTCGTTGGTTCTCCTCCTTCCGCGCCTCCGCGTGTCCTCGGCGCCTCCGTCGCCCCCGGCTCCCCCTCCGCTGCTCCTCTCCTGGCTCTTGCGCCCGCCTTCCCTCCGCTGGTTCTCTTTCTCCCTTTCTGCCTTGCTTTGCTCCTCCGGCCCCCCGGTCGCCCCGCTTGCCCCCTCCGTCCTTCCCCCCCCTGCTGCCGGCTTCCTCGCCCCGTTCCGGCTTCGTCCTCCTTTTTCGCCCTTTCGCCCTCGCCTGGCTTCGGTCTTCTCCCTCCGCGCGGCCGGTCCTCCCCCCGCCCGCCGCTGCGTTCTTCTTTCTTTTCTCCCTTCGGCGCCGTGTGCGCTGCCCGTCTCCTGCCCGGTTTTGCCTGCGCGCCCGCCGTGCTGCCTCCTCTTTTCGCCTCTGCCTCTCCCCCTCCCGTCGTTGCTTTTCTTTCTGTTCCTTCGCCCGTCGCTGCTTCCGCTTCCGCCCCTCGCCTTTTCGCTCTTCCTTTTTCTTTCTCCTCCCCCGGCTGGCCTCTTCTTCTGGCCCTCCTCGCTCTTCTTCGCCTGCTCTTGGGCCTCTCCTTGCTCTTCCTCCCCCGCCTGCCCGTCTGCTTGCCTCTTCGTCCCGGTCCCCTCGGCTCTGTCCTTCTTGGCCTCCTTGTTGGCGCCTCCCCTGCTGGCTCTGCCCGCCTGCTCCCTTCTCTGCTCTTCTCTCTCTCCCTGCCTCTCGGCCCTTTTGCTTGCCTTGTCTTCTTTGGTCTCCGTCCCGGCCCCGCTCCCTTCGCGCTTCTGCCGGCTTCTCCCCGCCCGCTCCTTTTTTGGCTCTCTCTTTCGCCCTCTGTCTCTTCTCCCTCGGCGGCCTGCCTCCCCTCGGGTTTTTTCGGCCCCTCTCTTTCTTCTGGTGTGGCTGGCCGGCCGGCCTCTCTTTCTTGGTTTTCCTCGGCCTCCTTCCCCGCGTTGTTTCTCTCTCCTCTTCTCTCCCCTCCTCCCGTTCTTCCTGCCTGGCCGCCCCCCGCCTCCCCCCTCCCGTGCGCCCTTCTCGCCGCTCTCCTTTCCGCTCCCCCCTTCCCTCGCCTTGCGTCTGCTTGTCTGTGTCGCCTCTCCTCTCCCCGGCCTCTCCCTGCCCCCGCTTCTTGCCCTTGCTCCGGCTCGCCTTTTTTCGCTTCTCGGGTCTCTTTCTTCGTTCCGCTCCCTCTTCCTCCCTGGCCTCCCCGCCTTCGTCCCCTGTTCCGCCCCCCTGGGCCTGGGCTCGGGTTCTGCCCTTCTCCTCGGCTGCTCGCGTCGCTTCCCTGCTTCTCCGTTCCTTCCCTCCCGGCCCCGCCCGGCCTCGGGTTCTCTCCCTTCTCCTTCTGCGCCGGGGTCCTTCGCGCGTCTTTCCCTCGCTCCTCTCTTTCCCTCTGGCTCGCTCCTCCGTCGTTCTCTTCCCTTTCGGCTTCGGCCTCGGCGTCCTCCGCCCTGCTTTTGCCCCCCCTCTCCTTCTTTGTTGGGCCCCCCTTCCCTCTTTGCGCTTCTCTTGCCTCGCGCCCTCGGTTTCCTTGTCCCTCTTTTTGCTCTCTCTCCGGCCTTCTCCGGCTCCTTCCCCTCGCCGCCCTTGGCTGTCCCCTCGGGCCTCTCTGCCCTGCCCGCCTCGCCTCCCCCCCTTTGTCCTCTCTTCCCTCCTCCCCCTCGCTCGCTCTCCTCTTCCTGGCCTCCGCTTCCTGCCTTGGTGGTGCCCTGGTCGCCCCGCGCCTCCCCCTCTCGTGCTCCCGCGCGTGGCGGTTCGCGTCCTCTTCCGGGCCTCCTCTTGCGCCTGCTCGTTGCCTGCGCCCTTCCCTCCGCGCTCGGCTCGCCTCGGTCTCTCCCTCCCGCTTCGCTCCGCGCTCTTGGCCTTGGCCTCCGTTCGGCCGCGGCTCCCGCCCTCTTGGTGCTCTTCTCTCTCTCCTGCCTGGGGCGTCTGCTCCGCCCTGCCCCCCCCCCGCGTCTCTGCTTCCCCGGCCTCCTCGCTTCGCCCCCTCTGGTCCCCTGCCCGCCCGTCCGTCCCCCGCCGCTCCCGTCCCTTCCCTCGTCCCGGGCTTGGCGCCTTCCCCCTTCCGTGCCTTTGGCCCTGGCCCTTCCCCCCTGGGTCCTCTCGGGTCGGGTGCCTTCCCTCCTCGCCGCCCGTTGGCCTTCCCGCCTTCCTTCTCCTTTCCGGGCCTCTCTGCCCGCGCCGCGCCTCCCGTCGTTCTTGGTTGTGCCTCTCTGCCCTGGTTGTTCGCTGTTCCCGCCTTCTTGTTTCGGCCGCTCCTCGCCCCCTCCCTCGTGTTTTGCTCTCCGCTTTTCCTTCTTCCGTCTTTCCGCCGTCCCCTCTTGTTCCCTGGCGCTCCGGTCCCCCCTCCCTCTGGCCGCCCGCCGCGTTTCCCCGCCTCTCCCCCCCGTCCTTCTGTTCCCCTTCCTCCCTCTTTCCTCGCCTCGCCCCTCTCTTTCCGGCTCCGGCCTGGGCCCTCTTTCTCCCGTTCCCTGCCTCCCCTTTTCCTTTCCTCTGGGCCCCGCCTCTTTTTCTCCCCCTGTCTTTGTCCTTTGCTCCCCTCGCGTTCCGTTCGCTCGGCCCCGCTTTGCTCCCTCCTGCTCCCTCTCGCTCGCGTCTTCGCCCGGCCCGCTCCCTTCGCTCCTGCCCTCTTGGTTCTCCGCCCTCTCTGCCGCTTCCTCCCCCTTCCCCGTGCTTTTCTTGCGTCTTCTTGCTCCCCCGCGTTTCTCTCTCGCTGTCGGCGGCTCTGTTTGGGCCGTCCGCCGCCCCTTTGCCCTCTCTTCCTCTGCCCTCCTTCTCGCTGTGCCCCCCGCGCCCGGGGGCTGCTCTTTGCCTCGGCCCCGCGTGGCTCCGCCGGGTCCCCCCTGCCTTGCCTTCTTCGCCCCGGGCCTTGTTCTTTGGCCGCTCTCTCTCGTGTCTGGTCCTGCCCGGTTCCCTTCTGCCCGCCCTCCGCCTCCTTCTCTTGCCGCTCCTCCTCTTCCTCCTCCCTGCTCCGCTTGCCCCCCCTGGCCTGGCCCCTCGGGCCCTCCCCTTCCTTGGGCCTTTCCCTCCCTCCCCTCGCCCGGCCCCGGGCGCCCTCTTCTCGGCGCCCCCCTCTGTCCTTGCCTCTCTCCTCTCTCTGTTGGCGGGTCCCGGGCTCCTTCCCCCTCCCCCTCTTCCCCCTCCGCTTCCTCTTTTTCCTCGCGCCCTCTCTGCTCCCGGCTCGCCCCCGCTCCGCTCTGCTCCTCTCTCCGGCTTCCTCGTTCGGGCGCCGCCGCCTGTCCCTCGCTCCTTCTCCCCTGCCTGCCTCTTTTTCTGTCCGTGCCGCTCCCCCCGCGCGCCTTCTCCTTCTCCTCGGCCCTGCCCGCGTCCGCCTCGTTCTCCCGCGTCCCTCCGCCGTGCTCCCCTTTTTTTCCTCGGGTCCGGGTCGCGCCCCCGCTCTTGGGCGCCCGCTCCGGCCGCCCCCTCCCCCGCTCCCGCCGTCTCGTTCCTTTCTTCCTGCTCGTTCCCCGTTCGCCGTCCCCTTTGTCCCCTCCTCCCCTTCGTTCCCTGCTTTCTTCTTCCTCTCGCTCGCTCTCGGCTCTCTGGGCCTTCCTTCGCCCTCCCTTTTGTGCTCCCGCCCTTCCTCTCTGCTCGCCCCGGCTCCCCTGCTCCTGCCCCGCTCTTCCCTGGGCTCGCCCCTCCCCGTTTTGTCTCTCCCGCGGGCTCGCCTTGTCTTCGTGTCTCTCCTTGCTTTCTTCTGTGTCCTCCTCCTCGCTCGGGCCTCCTTGGTCCGTGCTCCCCGCTCTCGTGCCTTGGCCCCCCTGGTTCTGGCCCCGCCTCCCTTGGTGTGGCCCCTTTTCTTTTCCCCGTGCCTCCCCTCGTCTCTGCCCGCGTGCCCCGGTGCTTTCGTTGTTGTGGCCTCCGCGCCTTCGTCTCTTCCTGCCCGTCTTTCCTTTCTTCGGCGCTCTTCGCGCCGGCTCCCCTTTTTGGGGCCTCTGCGTCGCCGCCCTCCCCCCCTCTTTCTCGTGGCCCCTCTTTCCCCTCCCTGGCGCGCTGGTTCCCTCCTCGCCCCGGGCTCCGTCCTTCGCCTCCTTCCCCTCCCGCTCCTGCCTGTTTGGCCTCCCTCTTCTGCCCGGCGCCCTTGCTTTTGCTCCTTCGCCTTGCCGGGTGCTCTCCCCTCGGTCTCTTTCCGGCCTCCTCTCCCTCGTTCGCGCCTTCCTCCTCGTTCGCCGCTCCCGCTCCGTCTCCCGGTCCCGCTCGCTCTCGTCCCTCGCCTCCCTCTCGTCCCTCTCCTCCCTCTTGCTCTCCTCCCTCCGCCCCTTTCGGCTTGTTCTCCCGGCCCTTGTTCCGCCCTCCCGTCCTGCCCGGCCCTCGGCGTTTGTCGCTCGGTCTTTGCCCCCCTCGGCTCGTCCCCTTCCTCTCGCCCCTCTCCCTCCCCTCGCCCTCGCGGGGGCTCCCGCTCGGCGGCGCGCCCGGGTTTTCCCTGCGCTGGGCCCTGCCCCCTCTTCGCCCCCCCCGCCGTTTGTGCCTCCGTGCTTGTCTGCTCCTGCGCCCGGCCGCTCCGCCTTTCTGCTCCCCCCCTGTCTTGCCCTCCTCCTTCCTTCGCTCCTTTTTCTGCCTGTCCCCTCGTCTCGTCCGTCCCTTGCTCCCGGTTGTTCCTCCTTTGCTCCCCGCGTCCTTCTTTGCTCCCTGCTCCCTCTGCGTCCGCCTCCCTCGCCTTTGCTCCCTCCCTTTTCTGTCGTTCCGGTGGCGCCCTGCCCCCCGCCTTCTCTTTCTTCCTCCCCCCTCGCCTCCCTGTTCGCGCCCCCGGCTTCTCTTTTCTCCTCCTCCCCTCCCCGTTCCCGTTTTTCTTTTTCTTCTCCTGCCTCGCTCTCTTTCCTTGTCTGCCTTCGCTGTCTCGTCTTTCTCGCCCCCGTGCTTCGCTTGCTGGGCTTTGGTCTGCGCTCGCCGCTCTCGCTGCGCTTGCTCTTCCCCTCTTTTTTCTTCGCCCGTCTTGCTTTGCCCCCCTCCGCGGGCCCCCGCCTGTTGCCGCCCGCCGCCGCCCCCGTCTTTCTTCTCGCGCCTCTCCTCCTTGTTCCCGCGCCGCTCGCCCGCTCTTCTTTCCCCCGCCCGCCTTTGGTTCCGCTGTCGGCTCCCTCTCCCGCCGTTTTCGCCCCTCCCTCCTCGCTGCTGGCCTTCTCCCCGCTTTGCCCTTTTCGCCCTCTGTCTGTCCCTCCCTCGCGCCCCGGGCCCCCCGCGCCGCTGTGTCCGCCCGCGCTCTCCCGCCCCCCGCCGCCGGCCCCGGGTTGCCTCGCGGCCCTCCCGCCCTTTGGCGCTCTCCGCTGTGTCGCTCTCCCTGGTGCCTCCTTCTTTTTCTTTCGCTGCCTCCTTTCTTCGGCCGCCGCCGCTTCTGTCCCCCTTCCTCGCCCTCTCCCTTCTCCGCTTCCCTTGTGGCCGCCCCCCTTTTTCTGCCGCCTTCGCCCTGCTCTCCCCGCTCCCTGCCTCCTCTCGTGCCCCCTGGCTCCCCTTTTTGCCTGCTCCTTCGTCTCGGCCCTCGGTCTGCCCCCGTCTCTCCCCTCTCCCCTTTCGCTCTTTGTCCCCTGTCGCCGTCCGGCCCCCTGGCCTCTCTGTTTGGCCTCGCTTCCCTTTTGCGCGCGTTGCCCCGCCCTCTCTCGTTGCCCCGTTCTCTCCCTCTGCCCTTTTTCGCCGCCTTTCTTTCGCCCCCGCCTCCGTTTTTTCCTCTTTTCGGCTGGTCCCTCTTTCTCCGCCTCTGGGGTGTGCCTCCCCCCCTGTTTGCCTTGCCCTTGCGCTCCTGCTGCCCGTTCTTCCCTTCTGCCTCCGCTCGCTTCCTCTCTGCCCGCGGTTGCCCCTCCGTTCTTTCCCCTTGCCTCTTTGTCCCTCTGTTCGCGGTGTTCCCGCCCTGTCTGCGCTCGCGTCCCTCGCTCTCCGCCCGCCTGGCTCGGCTCGCCTTCGCCCCTGGCCCGCTTTGTCCCCGTTCTCCGTTTCGTCCCCCCTTTGTGGCCCCTCCTTCGGTCTGCCTCTGTTCGCTCCCTGTGCCTCGCTTGGTGCCCTCGTCTCTCTCCCCCCCCGCCTGTTTTTTTTTCCCGCCGCCCCCGCCCCTCTTTTGTTCCTTCGCCCCCCTCTTGCGGCCTTGTCCCTCCGTCCCTCCTCCTTCTTGCTCCGGGCCTTTTCCCCCGCCCGGGGCCTCTTGTGTTCCCCTCGCCGCCGCCGTGCTGCGGCTTCTTCCCGCCTCGCCGTCGCTTTGCTTTCTCCCCCGCCGCTCTCCCTGCCCTTCTCTGCCCTGGTTTCCCGGCTTCCGCCCCTTGTCTTGCTCGTGGCCTCTCCTTGCGCCCTCGGCCTCCGTGTTCTCCCCGGCTTTCCTGCGCTTCTTTCTCGTCTGGCCTGCGTCCCCCTCCCCTTTGGTCTCTTCTTGCCCCCCCCTGGTGCTCTTGTTCCTCCCTTGCTCCCGCCTTTGGCTTTTTGGGCCGTCTCCTGCTCCTCCCCTCCGCCGGGTTTCCCTTTTTTCCCCTGCCCCTTTGCCGCCCTCTTGCTTCTCCCCCTGCCTGCCGCGTTGCTCCTCCGGCCCTTTGCCTTCCTCGCTGTCGCTCTCGGCCCTCTGCCTGGGGCTCTTCCCGCCCTCCCCCCGCCCCCGGCCGTGCGTTCGCCCCCCGCCCCGCCCCTTGGCCCCCCCGCCGTGCCTTGGCCCCCCGCCCCGCCGTGGCTTCGCCCCTCTTTTTTGTCGCTCCCCTCCGCCCCTCCCTCGCCTCTTGCTTCCTCCGTCCTCGCTCCCCCTTCCTTGCCCCTGGCTCTTCTGCTCCGCCCGCCCTGTTCCCCCTGTTCCTGGCCCTTCTTGCTCCCCTTGGCCCTTTGTCTCTCTCTGCCTCCGGCTCCCGCTTCCTGGCTCTCTCGTTCGCGCCCTTCCCTCCGCGGCTCGCGCCCTTTCTTCTGCCTCTTTTTCCCCTTCGCTCCCTGTTGGTTCCTCGTCTCTTTCCTTCTCGTTCTCTGCTTCCGCGTCTCCTTTCCTCTTTGCTCCCTTTGCCTTTGCCTTCCCTCTTCGCCGTTGCGCTCCGCTCGCTTCCTTCCCCCGCCTCGCTTCCCTCCCTTTCTTCTGTCCCCCTCGGTCCTCGCTTGTCTTTGCCTCCGCTTTCGGCTCCCTCTCTCTTGCTTGCCTGCCCCCCTTCTGTTGTTGCTCGCCCCTCTCCCTCTTTTTGGTTGTGGCTCTTCCCCCTCCTTCCGCCGGCGCTCCGGCCCCCTTTTTTTCTGCTCCTTCGCGCCCCGCTTCCTTCTCTTCCTCCCCCCTCCGCGGTCGCCCCCTCCCGCTTTCTTTTTCGCTTCCTCCCTGGCGTTGCCTCCCTCCTTCCCGCCTTGTTTTTGCTCCCCTCCGTCGGCCTCCCTCGCCCCGGCCCCTCCCTTCTGCTCCCCCCGCTCCGGCTCGGTTCTTGCTCGCGTGCCTCGCTCCGCCCTTTCTTGCCCTCTCTCTTCTCCTTCCCCCTCGTGGTGTCCGGTGTCTCCTCCCCTCTTCCGGGCGTGGCCTCGCTGCCCTCCCTCCCCCTGGCTTTTTGTTCCCGCCTGCCCTCTTCTTTGCCCTGTCCCTCTCCGGTTCCTCCTTCGGCCCCTCTCCCCTCCCGGCTCTGCTGCCTCGGCTGCCTTGCGCCGGTCTTTTGTCCCTCCGTCCTTCTCTTGCCTCTCTTCCCCCTTTCTTTCTTTTCCGCTCGCCTGGCCGGGCCCCCCGCCCGCTCTTGTTGTTTCTTCCCCCCTTTTTGCTCTCTCGTGGCCCTCTCCGTCGGCTTCCCCCCCGCTGCCGTTCTGCCCTCTCTCCGCGCCCCCCGCCCGCCCGGCTCTTGTCGGCTTCCCCGCCCTTCTTCGCTTTCTTCCGGCCGCCGCTGCTTCCTCCTCTGCTTCTCCCGTTCCGTGCCTCGCCGGGCCCTTGCGGCCTCGCCCGCCCGGCCTTTCGGGCCTCGGTCTGCTTCTCTCTCTGTTCGTTCCGTTTGCCGCCCGGCCGGCTCCCCCGCCTCGCTCTTTCTTTTCGTTGTTGCCTCTCTCTTTGCTTCCTCCCTGTGTGCTCTTCCGCCTCCTCCTTCCTCCTGGCCTCCCCCTGCTCTCTGGCTTGCTCCGCCGCTCCTTTCCGTTGGCTCGCCTCCGTTCCTTGCCCGCCCCTCGCTCTTGTGGCCTCCTCTTGCCTCTTTGCCGCTCCCTTCCGTCCCTTGCTCCCCCCGCTCCTTGTTTCCCCCCCTCCCTTGTCTCCCCCCTCCCTTCTCTCTCGCTCCGTTCCTCCCCCCCTCCGCTTCCTTCCCCCCCTCCTGCCGCGCTCTTGGCGGCCTTGCCCCTCTGCCCTTGCGCCCCTTTTGCCCCGCCTCGCCCCCTTGTTTCTCGCGCCGCGCTGGGCCCCTGCTCCTCTCCTTTGCTTGCCTCGTTGCCCCCGCCCCTTGTTGTTTGCCGCCCCCCTCCGCTTCCCTTGGTCTTTTTTCCCGCCCCGCCGCCCTGCGCTCCGCCCTCCCGTGTTTCCCTCCGCTTTCGCCTCGCGGTCCCGCCTTCCCGTTGCTTGTCTTTCGCCTCTTCCTCCGCGCCCGCCGCTCCCCCCTTCCCCTCCCGGTCCTTGCGGGTCGGCTCCTCCCTCTCCTCTCCCCCCGCCCTCCCGCTCTTTGCGCTCTTTCTCTTTGCCTCCGCTCTCCCTTCCCGCGGCGGTTTCCTTCGCTCTCTTCCCCCTCGCCTCCCCCCCTTTTCCGCTCCCTTTCCTCCCCCCTCGCGCCCCCCCGTTCGCTTCCGGGCTGCTCCCCTTTTTCGTTCTTGGGCGCCCCCCGTCCTCTCTTTCGGCTTCCGGCCCCCCTCTCCGCGCTCTTTTTTCCTTTTGGCCGCGCGCGGCGCGCCCCCTCCCCTCTTGCTCTTGGCCGCCCCCCGGCTTCTTCCCTGTCTCCTTTTTGGGTCCCCTGGCCTTCCTCGGTCTCGGCCGCCGTCCTCTCCCCTCGCGCTTTTTGCTTTCGCCCCTCTTTCGCTTGTTCCTCCGCTCTCTCCGGCCCCCTCCTCCCCCGCGTCTTCCCCCCTTGCTCGTGCCCTCTCGCTTGCTTCTTGCCCCCTGTGCCTTGCGTGCCCGTCGGCTCCTCCCCTTCGGGGTCCCCGCGTTTTCTCCCCCGTTCTTGGTGGCCCCCCTGTGCCTGCCGCTCCCCCTGCCTTGCCTTGGGTCCCTGCCTCTCCGCCCTCGTGCGCCTTCTTGCTCTCTCTCCCTCTCTCTCTCCTTCGCCCTCCCGGCTTTGCCTTGCTGTCCTTTCCTTGCTTCCTCCTCCCTTGCCTTGCTTTCTCCTCCCGCTTTCCTTTCCCTTGGCCTTTGGTTCTTCCCCCTGTCCGCGGCTCCCCGCTCCGCCTCCCTGGCTGCCTGGTTCCCGCGCCCCCCTCCTCCTTGGCGCCTTCGTCGGTTCCCTTCCTCCTGGCTGCCCGCCCTGGGCCCCCTCCCTCCGTCTCTTGGCCTTGGCTCTGTCTCCCTGGCCTCTCCTCCTCCCTCCCTCCCGCCTTGGTGTGGTCTCTTCCTCTCCTCCTCTCTGCCCGTCCGCCCTCGCCTTCTTCTTGCGCCTCGCCCTCCTCGGGCCGCCCCTCGCTTTCTGGCTGGCCTCCCCTCTGCCGTCTTTCCCGCCCCCGTCTTCGTTCTTGGGGCCCCCTCCCTCTCCTTTTCCTGTCGCCTCGGGCTCCCCTCGGCCCGCCCTCCCGCTTGGGTCGCCCTCTTCTTTGGTGTCCCGGTCCTCGCTCTGCCTCGTCCTCGCCTTCCGGGCCCGGGTCGCCGCCTGGGCCCTCTTCTGGGCCCTCCCTGCCTTCCCGCCGTCTGCTCCTTCCGCTTCCCCCGGGTTCTTCTCTTCCCCCTCTTCGCCCGCCCCGCCCTTCCCTCCCCTCCTTCCTCGCCTGGCGCTCCCTTTCTCCCCCTTCTCCCCCGCGCCCCCGCCCTGGCCCTGTCGCCCGTCCGTGCCCTCCCCTCCCCGCCCCCTTTGCTCTCTGGCCCGCCTCGTTGTGGTCCCGGTCGTCCTGCCCGCGGCCTCCTTCCCGCCGGGCCTCGCGGGGGCGGTCCTCCGCGTCTCTCCCGTCCCCTCGCTTTTCGCCGGCCTGCCCCGCCCTCTCTGGTCGCCTCGTCCCCCTCGCCTCCGCCCCTCCTCGCCCTGCCTCCCTTTGTCTCCTCCCCTCTGGGGCTGGTGCGCCGCGCTCTCTTTTCCCTCCCCGCGGGGCTCTCCTTGGCGCTCCCCTTGTTTCTGGTCCCGCCGTTCCTCTCCCCTGGGCCCTGCCCTCCCTTTGCGTGCGGTTTGCCCTCTTGCTTTCCGTCCTTGGCCGTCCCCCTTCGGTTTCCGCCGCCCCCTCGCCCTCGCTCCCTGCTCCCCTTTGCGTCCCTCTCCCGGCTCGCCCTCCCCGCCCCTGCCGCGTCCCGGCCGCCCGTGCTTGCGTTCCGTCGTTCCTCCTCTCCCTTCTTGCCTCTCGCGCTCTCGTCCTCTGGCGCCGCCCCTTGTTTCCCGCCCCGCCCGCCCCGGCCGCGCCCCTTCTTTCCCCGCGCGGCGGCCGGGGTCTTCCCCTTTCCTTCGCTGGTCCGCGGCGCCTTGCCCGCTCCGCCGTGGGCCTTCTCCCGCTTCCCCGGGGCCCCTCGCGCTGTCTCCTCCGTTCCCCTCCTCTGTGGCCGTCTCGCCGTCCTTTCCTCGCGTCCTTCGGTCTGCCTGCTCCCTGCCGCCCTCCGCCCGCTGCCGGCCCGGGCCGCCCTCGGCTGTCGCCGCTCCTCCCCTGCGTCCTTCGGCCGCTTTGGCTTCCTCTCTCCCCCCTGGGGTCCTTCCTTGTCCGCTCTCCGCTCCCTCTGTCTCGCTCTCCTCCTCTCCCTCCCGCCCGCCGTCTGCTTTGTCCGCCGCTTGTCCCGTTTGGGCCGGGGTTTTGCTTGCTCCCCCGCCGCCTCTCCTTCCCCGCTCTGCCCTTCGGCCCGGCCCTCCCTCCCCTCGCCCTCCCCCTTGGCCCGGGTGGCCCCTTCGCTCGCGCCGCGGGTGCTGTCGCGCCCCTGCTTGCCCCGCGGGTCCTCGCCCCCTTCCCCTTCCCTTCTGGGGCGGTCCGTTTGCTCTCCCCCCCTGCTCCGCCCCGTCGGCCCCGTCGGGCCTGTTGGGGTGCCTCCGCCCGTTTGGGTCGCGCCGGCTCTCCGCGTTGGCTCGGTCCGCGTCCTGTCGTCCGCGGCGTCGTTCTGCCCCCTGTCGCCCTCCCCCTGGCGGTGGGGCCGGGCGCGCTCCCCTTGGTCGCCCCCCCCCCCCCCTTGGGGTTCTCCTGCCCTTGGCCGCCGCCGTCGCCCCCGGCCTCCCTCTCGTGCTCCTTTGCTTCTTCGTCGCCGTCGTCCCTCGGCGCCCCCTTCGCGTTTTTTTCTTCGTCTTTCCCCCCCCCCTCGGCGTCCGCTGTGCCCCGTTCCCTCCCCCCCCTCCTTTTGTGGCCCCTCCTTTCTTCCCCCCTTGCTCCCCTTCCTCCCCGCCGCCCCCGCCCTCCTCGTCCCCTGGTCCCGGCCTCTCCCCTTCTCCCCCCCCTGCTCGGCCCTCCCCTTGGTCTCCCTCCTGGTCCCGCCCCTCTGCCTCTTTCTCTCCCCGCTCGTCTGGTCGGCCCCCCCTTGGGCGCCTTTGCCCCTCCTTTCCCTTTCCGCGGCCCTGCCCCCGCGCTCCTCGCTCTCGTCGTTCCTCTTCCCTCTCCCTGCTGCTTCTGCGCCTTCCTTCCTCTTCCTTTCCTCTCCTCCTCCTCGGCGGCCCTTTCTGCTCCCCCGCCGCCCCCCGCCGTCTCTGCTTTCGGTCCCCTCTCTCTCTGTCTGCTGCCCCCGCCCGCCGCGTCCTTGCTCCCCTTCGTGGCCGTTCCTCCGCCGCCCCCTTCTCCTCCTCGCGCTCCTGCCCTTCGCGCCTGTTCTCCCCTTTTTCCCTTCGTTTCTTCTGCCGCCGCCCCTCGTTCCCCTCTGCGTTCCCCGCCGCCCCTTCCTCCTTCGTCCCGCTGCCGTCCCTGCGGGTCCTCCCCTCCCGCCCTTTCCCCCCCGGGCTCGGGGCGTCGTTCTCCGCTCCCCCGCCCTCCCTGCCCTCTCCTCTTGTCCTGCCCGCTCTCTCTTTCGCTGCTGCCTCCGTCCCGCTCCCTTCCCTCCCCCCCTCGCTGGCCCCTCCCCTCCCGCTCTGGTCTCTCCTGCTCTGTCTCGTCGTGGCGGCGTCTGGGCCCCCCCTCCCTCCCCTTGGTTTTCGCCTTGGTCCCCCCCCCGGTCCTCCTTCTCTTTGGTTTCCCCCGCCCCCCTTCTTCTGCGGGTCTCCCCGCGCTCCCCCCTCCGCCCTTGTCTTCCCCTTCTGTTCCCCGCCTCCGCCCTCTCCTCTGGGTCGCGGGCCTTGCCCGTCTCGCGCTTCCCCCCGCCTCGCTTTGCTCCCCGTCCTTTTTTCTGGGCTTCCCCCCCCTTCCTCGCCCTCCCCCCGCGGCCTCGCCGCCTTCCCGCCGCCTCTCCCCCCCTGTCCTTCTGTGCCCCCCCTTTCCCCTTGCTCTCCCCCCCTTGCCCCCCTTCTGGCCCCCTCCTCTTCTTGCCGCCTCTCTCGCTGGGCCCTTCCCGCCTCGCGTTTCCTTTCGCCCGCCCTGCCCGGCTCTTGCCTTCCCTGCCCCCGCCCTCCCCCGGGCCTTCCCGTCCCCCTTGCCGGTCGTCTCGCCGGCCCCGCCCTTGCCCGCGTCGCCTGGCTTCGCCGGGGTCGGGTTCCTCTCCCCCCCTTCGCGCTCCCCTTGCTTCTTGTTCCTCTCCCGTTCGCCCTCTCTCTGGTGTCTTCGGCCTCCCCCTTTGCTCTTTCTCGCCGCGGCCTCCTCCTCCCTTTGCCTTTTCCTTCTCTCTCCTTTCGCCCGCTCCCCCTCTTCCTTCTTTTTCTCCCCCTCGTTTTCCTTCTCTCCGGTTGCCTCCCCCTTCGCTTCCTCCTTTGCGCCCTTGCTCTGCTTCGTGTGTGCCTCGTTGCTTTTTTTCGGGTTCGCCTTCCCCCTTGGCCCCCTCCTCCCCCCCCCTCCCTTCGCCTTCTCTCGCTCTCCCGCTCCCGCCCCCGTCCCGCTGTGCCCGCTCTCTCCCTCCTTGCCGCCCCTGCCCTTTTTTTCTGTTCTTGCCCCTCCCTCTGCTTTTCCGTTGGCCCGCCCCTCGCGCCGCCCGCTGTGGCTCCCTGGCCGGCTGCGCGCCCGCGCCCCCTCTCTCTGCTCTCGCCTTCCCCTCTGTCCGGTCTCTGCGTGCTCTCCTCCCCGGCCGTGTCCTCCCGCCTCCCTCCTGCTTCCTCCCTCCTTCCCTGCCTCTTCTTCTCGCCCCTTTTCTCGTCGCCCCTTCTCGCCTCCCCCCCCCCCCTCCGCGCTTCGCGCCCCTCCCGCCTGCGCCCCTTGCCTCCCGCCCCCTTTCCTTCCTCCGCTCCGTTGTCCCCTTTGGCCCTCCCCCTTCCCGTCCGCCGTGCTGGGCCCGCTGGCCCCTGTGCCTCCCCCCGCTTTTCTTCCCCTGCCTCTTCCTGCTTCGCCGGTCGGGCTGGCGGCCCCCCCGGCGCCCCCTTCCTCTCTTCTGCGCCGTCCCGCGCTCCTCCTCCCCTTGCCCTGGCCGCGTCCCTCTTCGCCCGCGCCCCTTTCTTTTTTCCCTTCCTCCCTTTGCCCGCTCCCCCCCCCCCTTTCTCCCCCCTCCCCTCTGCTTTCTCCCCTCCCCCCTCCTCCCGCTCCCCCCTTCCTTCTCTCTTCGCTGCCTCTCCCCGCCTCCCCCGCTTCCCTCTCTTCCTTTCCCTCCCTGTCTCTTTTCTTCCTTCCTGCCCCTTGTCTCTTCCCTCCCCTTCCCCTTTTTTTTTTGCCTCCTTTTCTTCCCCTTCGCGCGGCGCCCGCTGCGCCGCCCTTCTCCCGTCTGGTTCTGTCGTCGCGCTGTCCTTCCGCCCGCCCCCTCCCCTCTCCCCCCGCCGCCCGCTTCCGTCCCCCCCTCGCGGCCGCCTGCCCGGCCTCTCTTCTCGCGGGGCCTCGTCTCTGTTTCGGTCCCTTTGCTCTTCCGGCCCTTGCCCCCGCTTGGCTCCCCTCTCGCCCGCTCGCCGCCGGTCGCCGCGGCCCTGCCCCGCCCTGTCCGCCGTGGTGGCCCTCTGGGTCCGTCTCTTTCCCGCCCCCCGCTTCCCGCGCGCCCTGCCGCGCCCCGTCTGGGTTCGGGGCCCGGCTCCCCCGCCTCTTGGGTCGCTGTTGTTCCCCGGGTCGCCTCCTTTCTGCCCTGGGTGGCGTCCCCGCCCCTCTCGCTCGCCGGGCTCTTTCCCTCGCCGCCTCCCCCCTGCCTCTCCGGCCTCCCTTCCTTCTTTCGCGCTCCCGGCTCCCTCCCGTCGCCCCCCTCGCCCTGCGTCTTGGCCCCTTGCCCTTTTTTTCTTTTCGCCCCCGCCTCTTTCTTTTTTTCTTCGTCCTTTGCCTTGCCCGCCCCGCTTTCCCCCTGCTCTGCTTCCCCTCCCCCCCCTTTCCCTGTCGCCGCTCCCCGCGGGGCTCGCGCCTTGCTGTGTCTTCGCCTCCTCGGCGCTCGCCCTCGTCGCTCTGCTCCTCTTGGTGCTGTTCTTGTTGCTGTGCTCCCCGCGCCGTCCCCCTCTGCCCCTCGCCCGGTCCGCCGTCGTCCGCGCTGTCCTTGTGCGTCCCTGTCCCGCCCTCCCCCGTGCCCCTGGTCTGCTCCTCCGCTCTGCTGCCCCCGCTGCCGTTGTTCTTGCCCCCGCCGGCCCTCCCCCCGGCCCTCGCCTTTTTGGCGCGCTCGCCCGGGCGTTGCGCCCCTTCCCTTTTCCTCCCTCGTCTCCTTCGCTCCCGCGGTCTTCTCCGCTCGTGCTCTGTTTCCCGGCGGGGTCTTTGCCCGCCCTCGCTTCCGCCCTCGCTTGTCTCTCCCGTCTCTCCCTTTCTTCCTTCCTCCTCCCCCCCCCTTCCGTCCCCCCCGCCCCGCCTGTTGCTTCTCTCCCCTTTTGCGTCCCTCCCCTTCTCGTTCCTCCTGGGTCGGGCCCCTGTTGCTGCGCTCCTCCCTCTCTCCGCCCTGCTGCTCTGGCTCCCCCCGCGTGGTTCGCCTCCCCTCTCCTCCTCTTCCCGCCCTCTCGTTCCCCTCCTTTTCCGCGCCGGTTTTCTCGCCCCTGCGCGCCCCCTCGCGCCCCCCCCCCTCTTTTTTGGTTTTCCCGCTGCGCCCTCGCCGGCCCCGGCCCGGGCCCCTCGCCCTCTTTTTCCTTTCCCCCGGCTCCGTCGCCGCCGGTCTCCGCCTTTCTGCTCCCTCTCCCCGCCTTCCTCGCCTTTTCGGTGGGCTGGGGCTTGTCCTTTTTTCTCCTTCTCGCGGCCTCCTGCCCGCCCGCGCGGCTCGCCTCGCCGGCCTCGGTGGCGCCCTTTTGTGTTCTCTCTGGTCCTCTTTTTCTCTTTCGCTTCGCCCCTTCCTCTTTTTCCTTGTCCCCCCCCCGCCCCGGCCCGCGTTGTCTCCTCTTGTTCCTCCTCCCTTCGTTGCTCCTTCCCGGGGGCTTTCCCTGGCCTGCCCGCCCCCCCCTGGCCTCCTGCCGGTTTCCTTCCCGCCTCGCTTCCCCCTGGCCTGTTCCGGGTTCGTTTCGCTCCTGCCGCTCTGCTTCTCGGTTCTGTTTCCGGCCCGCTCCGCCGCCGTTTTCTCCGGCTCCTCCCGGCGCTCGCGTCCCCCTTGCCGTCCGTCGTTCTGCTTCCCCGCGGCCGCCTCCTTTCTCGCCTCGCCCCCGGCTTCCCCGGCTTCCGTGCTTTTTTCCCTTGCCCCTTTTTCGCGCGCCTCTGCTTCCCGCTGCCCCTCTCCCGCCCCTTCTTTTCTTCCCCCCCGCCGTCGCTTCCCCTTTCCGCTCCGGCCTGCCCCCTGCCCCTCCGCGCTTCTGTTCGTCCCTTTGTGCCCCCTGTCGCCTCCTCCGCCGGCGCGGGCGCCTTCTCGTCCTTTGTTCCCCCCCGCGCCCTCCCCCCGCCCGGGCTCCTCCGCCTCGCTCCCGCCCGTGCTCCCTCCCTCCGGCCTCTTTTTTCCCCTGCCCTGGCTCTCTCCCTCTCTCTCTGCCTCCTCTTTCTGCGCTGCTCCCCTCTGGCCCCGCTCTCCCGCGCGTTGGTTCCCGTCCGCCCGGCCGTCTTCGTTCCCGTCCGCGTGCGCGTCGCCTCCCCCGGGCGTTCTTCCTGTTCCCGCCCGTTTTCCTCCTCCCTTGTCCCTGTTCCCGCTGTCCGGGGTCGCGTGGTTTCTTGGTCCTCCGCCGGTCCTTGTGGCTTCCGCGGTCCGCGCCGCGGGCCCCCTTTGCTGCTCCCCCCGCCGCCGCCCTGCTCTTCGTCCCGTCGTGGCTCCCGGTCTGCCCCGCGCCGCCGTCCTGCTCCCCGGTCCCGGCCTCGGCGCGCCGCCGCGCTTCGCGCTCTTCGTCGCCGTGGTCTCGTCTTCCCTTTCGTCCGCGCTGTCCCTCCTCTGCCCCTCCTGGCTGTCGCCCTCCCCCCCCGCCGTGTGTCGCCCTGTCTCTTGCCGCCCTTTGCCGCCCCCCGCGCCCTCCCTGCTTCCCTGCTCTCCTCCCCTCTTCTTCCTCTGGTTCGCGCGCCCCTCCCCGTCTCTCCTCGGCCCCTCGCGTGGCCGTGTGTTGCCTTCCGCCCCGCCCGTCCCCGTCTTTCTTCTGGGCGTTTTCTTCTGTCTCCCCTGCTGCCCGGTCCCGCCGCCCCCCTCGGCCTTGCCCTGCGCCGCGCTTTGCTTGGCGCCCTCGCCGGCCCCTGTCTCCCCCGTGTCCCCTCTGCGCCCGTCGCCCCTGCCTCTTCTCCCTCGCGGGTCTTCCCGCCTCGTCCCTGCCCTCTTCCTGCCTTTGCCCGCCCTTGTCTTCCGCCGTCCTCTCTCTGGCCCTTGTGCTGCCTCTCTTTGTGTCCGGGGTCCTGGCTCTGTCCCTGCTCCCGCTCTCGTCTTCCCGCCTTCTGTCGCCCTCGTTGCTCCTCCCCCCTCTCGCTCGCTTGCTGGCCCCCTCCTTTGTGTCTTCGCTTCGCCCTCGCGCGCCCTCGCGGCTCTCTTCTCCCCCGCCCCGCCCTTTCCCGCTGGCCGTTCTCCTCTCGCTGCTGTCTTTCTGCCTCTTCGCCCTGCGCCTTCTCGTCTTCCTTCTTCTGGGCCTGGGCCTGCCCCCCCGCGCTCCTTTTTCTCGCCCTCTGGCCCCCCGGCCGTTTCCCTCCGCCCGCCGCCCTTCCTCCCGCCTCCCGCCCTTTGCTTGCTTTCTTTCTTCCCTTTTTCCCTCTGGCCGCCCCCCTCCCCTTTCGCGCCCCCTCCCCCCGGTTCCTTTCGCTCCTTTTTTCTTTCCTGCTCCCTTGGCTCCCCTCCGCCCCCCCCCCCGCCTCGCCTTCTCGCTTTTTCTTGCCCCCTCCGCCTTGCCCCCCGGCTCTCCCTTGCCTCCCCGGTCCCCTCTCTCTCCTTCTTGGCCCTTTTGCCTCCTCGTCCCGCCCCTCTTCTGCCCTTGCCCCTTTCCCCCTCGCCGCTGTCCCCGCGCTCTTGGGCCTTCTCGCCCCCCGTTGGTCCTTTTTTTCCCGCCCCCCTCCGTTTTCCCTCTCTTGCCTTTCTTTCGTCTTTTTTTCTTTTCGCTGCCCCTCGGTTTTGCCTCGTTCCTCCTTCTCTCTTCTCTTTCGCCTCTCGCGTCCGCCTTGCCTCTGTGTCTCTCGGGCGCCTTCCCTTTGCCGCGCCTCTTCCTCGCTCCCCCTCTTTCCCCTTGCCTTCCCCCCGCCCCCCGTTCGGGCTTTCTCCTCGGTCCTGTTGCCCCCTCCCCCCCCCCGGGCGCCTGCGGTCCCCCCCCCCGCCCGTTGTCGCTCCTGGCCGCCGCCTGGCTTTTGCCCTTTCTTCCCCTTCTCTCCCCGGGTCCTGTTCCTCCTCCCGCCGGTCCTGCCCCCTTCCCCGCCCCCCCCCCTTCTTTGGTCCTGTCCGCCGTCTTTGCCCTCCGGGCCCGCCTCCCCTTCCGGTCCTCTTTCCCCCGGCGTTGCCCCTGGCTCTGCCGGTTCCCCCCCCTTGCTGGTTCTCGCCCCGCTCCGCCTCCGTTCCCTGCCCTCGTCCCTCGCCTTCCTCCTGGCCCCTCTCTCCCCCTCGTTGGGCCCTGCGGGCTCTCCCTCCTCCTTCTGCCCCCTCCCTTTCGCCCTTTCGCTCTTCCTCCCGGCTCCTTCCCGTCCGGCTTTTTGTTCTGGGCTCGGTGCCTTTTTCTGGCTCCCTCCGCCCGCCGGCCGGCCTGCTCCTTTTTCCTCCTCCGGCTCGCGCCCGCCTCCCCCGCCCCCCCCCGGCTCCCGTTTCCCTCTCTCCCCCCTCTCTCCGGGTTCCCTGTCCGCCCCCTTTTCCTGCCTTCTTTTTTCCGCCGTTGCCCTCTCGCTTCCCCGCCTTCCGTTCTTCCCCGTCCCTCTCCCTCCCCCCGTCGGCTTCCCCCCTTCCTCCTGCTCTGCTCCCGTGCTTTCTGGGTCGTCTCCGCCCTTCCGCTTGGTCTTTCTTCCCCCCTTTGTCCCTCCCCCCCGGTTTCTTGTTCCTCCTCTCGTCTCCCCTCTGTTCTCCTTTCGCCCCCCTGTTTCCCTCGCTCGTCTTCTGTCCTCTCCCTGCCGCGGCCCTGCCTGCCTTTTCCTCCTCTTCCCTCTTCCGTTCCGTCCGTGCCCTCGCTCCCCTCTCTTTTTTTTTTCGTTTCTCTCTTTCCCTTCTTCTCCTGGCTCTTCCGGCGCCTGCTCCTGTCCCCCTGCTTCGGCTCTGCTCCTCGCCCTCCTTCTCTTCCCGCGCCCCCGCCTCTCCTCCCTCTGTCTCCGGCTTCCGCGGTGGTTGGCCCCCCGCCCCCTTTGCTTGTGCCTTCCCCTTCCCCTGTGGCCGGCCTCTCCCTCCCCCGCCTCCTCCCCGTTCCCGTCCCCCCTCCCCTCCTCCCCTTTCTCTTCCGCGCCTTCCCTTCGCCCCCCCGTCTTCTTTCTTTGCCCGGCCTCGTTGCCGGGCGCTCTCCCCCTCCCTGTCTTCTTCTTTTCCCTCCTCCTCCTTCTCGCCCTGCCCTCCTTCTCTTCCTCCTCCCCTGCCCCTGCTTTCTTTCTTCCCCCCCTCTGCTCTCTCTTCTCTCTCCCGGGCCCGCCCTCCCTTGTTTCCGTCTCCTTGGCCCGTGCCTTCCCCTCCCTCCGGCCGTCCGCCGCGGCCTCCCCCGTGTGTCCCTCTCCCCCGCGTCCCGGTGGCTTGTCCCCCCCTCGCCCTTCCGCGCCCTCCTTCTCCCCCCGGCGCTCCTCTTCCCCTCGCTTCCGGTCCCCTGTTCCCCTTTTTCCTGCCCCCCCGCTTTGGTCGCGCGGTCCGGCCTCCCCGTTCCCCCCCCGCTGCGGTCCCTCCCGCCCGCCCCCCCCCTGTCCCCCCGTCCCTTCGCGCGGTTTTTTCCCTCCCCGGTGCGCTCCCCCCGCCCTCCCTGCCGCCTCCTCCTTCGGCCCCTCCTCCTTGCTGCCCCTCGCTGCCCTGCCCGTCTTCCCCCCCCCGTTCGCTTCCGTCCTTCTGTCTTGCCCCGCCGCCCCGCCTCCGTCCCGGTTGGCCGGTCGTCCCCGTCCTCGCCCCTCCCGTCGCCCCTTGGCCTCCCCCCCCGCGCGTCCTTCCCCCTCCGCCCTCCCCTCTTGCCGTGGGCGGCCCGTCTTTCCTCGTTCTCTCCTCTGCCCTCGCTTGCCTCTCGCGCCGTTCTTCGCCCCTCCTCGCCTTTCTTGCGCTCGGTGGCCCCCCCCTGCGCCCCGTCTGTGCGCCTTTCCTCTCGTCCCGCTCCCGCCCCCTCCCCCCCTCCTCTTTCCCCGGCTCTGTCCTCGCCCGTTTGCCCCTTTTTTTGCCTCCCCGCTTCCCTCTTCTCTGCCGGTCTGCCCGCCGCCCTCGCCCGCTCTTCTTTGTTTGGGGCGCTCCTCCCCCTCTCCCGTTGGCTCCGTCGTCTTTCTTCCGGGCCTCTTGCCTCCTCTCCTTTCCTCTTTCCTTTTTCTCTTCTCTCTCCTGTTTCTTCTTTGTTTTTTTCTTGTCTTCCTCGGCCTTCTCTTGTTCCGCCCCCTCTGCCTTGCTTTTCCCCCTCCGCTTCCTCCTCGCCCCGCGCTGCTTCCCTCCCCCCTCTCCCTTCCGTCCCGCTTTCCTGCGTCCGCCTCCTTGGCCCCTCCCTTCTTCCCCGCCTCGCTCGCCTGCTTCCCCCTCCCGCCTTTTTGTCTTTTTGTCCCCCTCGCCCTCGCCGCCCCCCTTTCGCTTTCTCTTTCTCCCTTGCCTTCCTTTTGCCCCTTGCCCTTTTTTGCGTCCGGCTCTGCTCCGCGGTCTGCCCCTTCCGTCTGCCTCCTCGTTCCCCTCTTTCTTCCTCTCTTCTGTCTTCCGTGTTCCCGCTCCTCCCTCCTCTCCGCCGCCGTCGCCCCCTCTCTCTCCCGCTGCCCGCCCCCTTCTCTGTCCTCTCCCTCGCTCCCTTCTCCCCCGTCCCCCCTCCTCTTCCGGCCCTCCCGCCCCCGCCCTTTCGCGCTCGCCCTCCCCCTCGCCTGGGCTCGCCCTCCGCGCTCTCCCTGCTTGCTTTTCTTTTGGCTTCCCCCGCTCGCCCTTGGGCGTTCTTCTCGCTCTCCTTCCTTGCCCTTCCCTCCCCTCCCCGGCCGCCTTCCCCTCTCCCCCTCCTCGCTCGCCTCCCGCCCTCGCGCCCTTGCGCCCCCCCCCGGGGTTGTTCCCCCCCCGGCGCTCCTTTCCCCTCTTCTGCCTTCCCTGGGTTTCCTCCCCTCCCTCCCGTCGTTCGTCTTGGCCCCGCTCTCGCCCTGTTCTCCCCCGTTTGTGTCGCCCTCCCTCCTCTTGTCTTCCTTGCGCTCTGTTGCCTTTGTCTCCCCTTCCGTTGTCCCTCCCGCTCTTCTCCTCGCTCCTTGGGGTCTTGCCCTTCTCTCCCTCCTCCTGGCCCCCGCCCCCCTCGTCGCCCTCTTTCTCTCTGGTTTCCTTGTCCGTTTTCCCGGGTCCGCCTTCTCTCCCGCTTTTGGGCCCCCTTCTCCCCCCCTCCGCGCTCCGTTTGCGGCCCTGGGGCCTCGTTGCCGTCCTGCGCCTCCCCTCTTGGGCGGCTCCTTCCTTCCCTTTCCCTTGCGCTCCTGCCCTCCTTTTCTCTTTTTCGTTGGCCCTTTCGGCGGTTCTCGCCCCCGCTCGCGCCCCCCTTCTCCTCGCGTCGCGCCTCCGCGGCCTGTCTCCCCCCGTGCTTCCCTCGCTTCGCTCGCGGTTTCCCCTTCCCCTTCTCGCTTCCCTCCCTGTTTGTTTCTTTTTTTTTTGGGGGGTTCTCTCCCGTCTCCCGCCGCGCCCGTCCCCCGTGGTCCCGCTTTCTCGGGTCCCTTCTGCCCCTTCCCCCGCCCCTCGCGGCCCCCGCTCCCCCGCCGTGTTGTCTCCGCCTGCCTGTCTTCTTGTCGTTGGCTCCCCCCTTTTTGGCCTGCTCCCCCTTCGCCTTGCGCCTCCCCTCCGGGTCCCTCCCCGCCCCCCTCTCTGCCCCGGTTCTCGCCCCTGCCCCCTGTGTCCGCCCCGCCGCGCCCCGCCCCTGCCGCCTGTCCCCCCGTCCCCCCCCCCTTGGCCTGCTCCGCCCCCCCTCGGCTTTCCCCGTCGCCCGCTCTCCTTCCCCCTTTCCCCCCTTGCGCGCGCCTCGCCTCTTTTTTCCCCGTCGCCGGCTCGCTCTCCCTGCCTCCCTTGCGTTCCCCGCCGTCGCCTTCCCCCGTTCCCCTCCTTGTTCCCCCTCTCCTTTGCTTCTGCCCTTCTCCCGGCCCTCCGCTCTCCCCCTTCCGTCGCCGTCTCCCCCCCCGCCTGGCCCTGTTTCCCCCCGTCGGCCTCCGCCGTCCCCCCGTTCCCGCCCTTCTTTCTCTCTCCCGCTCGGGTGTCCCCCCTCCCCTCGCTCTTCCCTCCCGTTCTCCCTCGCCCCTGCCCTGCCTCCTCCCCTTTTGCCGGCTTCTTTCCGCTGTCTCCTCCCCGCTCCTTTTTCCGGCCTTTTCGCCCCGGCTTCTGCTCCCCTTTGCTTTTCTGCTCGTCCCGCCCCCCTCTTCGCTCTCTCTCTTGCTGCCCGTCCCCTGCTCCCCTTGCTCCCGCGTGGGCCCCCTCCTTCGCTCGGCGTCGTTGCTGCCCCTCCCCCCGTTCCGGCCCCCCCCGCCGCCCCCCCCCGCCGCGCTCCTCCTGGCCCGGCCGGTTTCCCTCTTTCCCCTCCGCCCTCCTTGTCTCGGCGTTGTGGTGGGCGGCCGCTCCGCTGGCCTCCCCCCGCTCCTCTGCCCCCTGTCCCTGCTGCCCTGTGCTGCGCGGCTCTTCCTCCCGGCCCCCCGGCTCCCCCTTCCCCGCCCCCTGCCGGCTTTCCGGGTTGTCCTTTGCCCGTTCGTCCCTCCGGCTCGGCCCCCCCTCTTCCCGGCCCCTCTCCGCCTGTTCCCTGCCCTGCCCCCCCCCGCCCGCCCCTCCTGCCCGCCCTCCCTGCCTTCCCCGCTCTTGGGCCCCTCCCCGCCGGTTTTCCTGTCCGTTCCTCGCCCCTCTTTCTCGCTCCCCTCTCCCCCCTGCCCGCTGGCTGCCCCCCCGCCTCCCCCGCCCCCCCTCTGTGCCCCCGCTCCCCCTTCGTCCCTCCCCCTCCCCGCCTTCGTTCCGTTCCCCTGTGCTCCTCCCCCCGCCCCCTGCCTTGGTCCTTCCTCCCCGCGTCCTCCCGGGTCTCCCCCCCTCCCCTGTCTCCCCCTTGGCTCCCGCCCCGGCTCGGCCGGCTCCCCCCTGCTCCTTCCTCTCGCGCCCTCGCCCCCCCCCCCGCCCCCCGCGCGTCTGCCTTCTTGCCCGCCCGCCCGCGGCCCGGGCTCTTCCCTCCCCCGTCTGCCCGCGCTCCCGGCCCCCCCCCTGGCCCTCCCCCGTTTCTCCCCGCTCCCTCGCGCCCTCGTCCTTTCTTGCCTGGCCCGCCTCTCCTTCTCCCTCTCCTCTGGCCCCCCCTGTTCGGCTTCTTCCTCGGGCTTCCTCTTTGTTCTCTTCTCTCGGTCCTCCCCTCCTGGCCCCTTCTCTTCGTCGGCCCCCGCGCCGCCCCTTTCTTCTCTCCTCGCTCCGTCCCCGCCCTGGGGGTTGGCTTCCCTTGTCTCTGCGTGCCTGTGTCCCTCCTTCTTCCTCGCCCTCTTCCTCCTCCTTTGCCCCTTTGCCTTTCTTCCTTCTGTTTTTCTTTCTGCCTTTTTCTCTCCCTCTCCTCTCTGGCTCCCCTCCCTCCGCTCCCGCCCCTCTCTCTTCTCCGGCCCCTCCTTCCTCTTCTTCCGTTTCTCCTCCCCGTGCCCTCCCGTCCTTGTTCTTTTTTCTTTCCTTTCCTGCCTCTTGGTGTTCCCCCGTCCCTTTCCGCCGTCCTGGCGCGGCCGCTGCCTCTTGGGTTGCCGTCTCGTGCGCCTTGTCCGCCCTCTTGGGTCCTCTGGGCTTTCCCGTTTTCTCCCCGCTTGCGCTCTCCTCCGTTTCCCCCGCGCCCGCTTCCTTGCCTCCGCCCCCCTTTGGCGCGTGCCGTGCCCTTCGCTCCCTTTTGGCGCTTCCTCTTCGTTCGCCTCCTTTCTGGTTGGTTTGGTTGGCCTCCCTCCCCCGCCCCCTGCCCTCTCCCGGCTCCGTTTCGCCCCCCCCTTCGCTTGGTCCTCTCTCTCTGCTTCCTCGTTCTGTCCTCCCTGCTTCCGCTTTGCCTTCTTTGTCCCGCGGGTTCCTCCCTCCTTGGTCGCCCGTCTGCCCCCCCTTGCCCCCCCCCCGCCCCCCGTCCTCCCCCCGCCCTGGTCCTGGGGCCTTTGTCCTCTCTGTGCCCCTGCCCCTCGGGTGCCTCTTTCCCCGGCGTCGCGCCTCCCCTCCCCCGCTGCCCGCGCCCCCCTCCGTCCCCCGCGCCTCCCCTCGTGCTTTGGCTTGCTTTTCGCTGCCCCCTCCCTCCCTGCGCCGTTCCTTCGCTGGGTTTCGTGCCTTTTTTCTTCTCTTTCGCCTCGTCCCCCCGCGTCCCCCTCGTGTTTCTTGCCGCCGCCCCCCGCCTTTCGTTCGCCGTCCGCCCGCCCTGTTGCGCCCCCGGCCTGGCCTCTCTCCCTTGCTTCTTTTTTTTTCGCCCTTTTTTTGCCCCGTCTGCCCCCCCGGTGCCTGTCCGGTTTCTCCGGCCTCTCCCTGTCCCCTCCTCCCCGCCTTTCTCGCGCCCGCTTCCTTTTTTCGGTCCCGCCGTTGCTCGCGCGCTCTCCCCTCCCCTTCTTGGTCTTCTGCTCTCTCTCCGTCTCGCCGCTGCTCCCCCGCTCTGTCTTTGTTTCTCCCTCTCCCGGCGGCTGGGTCCTCCCCGGCGTCGCTCTTTCTGCTCCTCTGCCCTTTGTCCGCCCCGCTGTCCCTCCCCTCTGCCTGGGGTTCGCCGCTTCCCTGGGCTCTTTTCTCCTGGTTGGGGGCGCCCTTCCCCCCCGTCTCGCCTTCCCTCCCGCTTGGCGCCCCTGCGGTTTTTCTTTGCGCGCCCTTCCCGCCGCCTCTGCCTTCGCCCTCTGCCCTCTGCCTCTTCCGTCCTCCTCGCCTGGCCCTTCGCCTTCGCTCCGCGCCCTTTTGCCTTGTCCCCCCTTCGCTTCTGTCTCGCCCGGGTGGTCTGCGCGCCCGGCTCTTTCCGCTTTTCTCTTCTTTCTCGGGCGTCCCCTTCCGCGTCCCCCCCTTTTTGTTTTTCTTTTGGCCGCCTCTTCCCCTCTTTCTGTTCTGTCCCGCGCGTGCCCCCGCTTTTTCCTCCTTTGCTTGCCTCCCCCCGCCCCTTTGGGCTTGCTGCCTCCCCGCCCCCCCCCCCCTCCCTTCCTCTCCCTCTCTCCGGCCCCGGCGCCCTCCTCGTCTTTTTCCCTCTTTGGCCCGGCCGGGTGGCCTTTTGCTCCGTTCCCCTCTGGGTCTGCTCTCTTCTTCTCTTTCTTCCCTGGCCGGGCCGGGTCCCTTTTCTTGTCGCGCCGTCTGCCCTGCCCCCCGCTCCCCGCTGCCCGTCCGGTTGTTCCCTTCTCTCCTTTTCCTCTTCTTCTTTCTCTTTCTTTTCTCTTCCGCGCTCGCGGCCCTTTTTCTTCTGTTCTCTCCTCCGGGTCCTGCTCCCTCCCCCTGCTCGTTCGTTTTCTGCGGCCCCCGCGGGCGCCTTTCTCCTGGCCGCGGCCGCCCTGCTGCCCCTGCGTGCCCCCCCCCCCGGGTTTCTGTCCCCGCCCGGGCCCCCTTTCTGGGTTGTCTCCGCCGCCCTGGCCCGCGCTGTTTTTCTGTCCGCCCCCGCCGCCCCGCTTCTGGCCTTGTTGCTCTTGTCGCGGTTGCCTGCCCCTCCCCTGGCTTTCCCGCCCCTCCGCGCTTTGCGCTTTTCTCTCTGCCTTTCCTCTTCTCTTCCCTCTTTCTTCCTCTCGCCGTCCTTCCTCCTCCTCCGGTTCGGCTCCCTCTCCCCCGTCCCTTCTGTCTCCCCTTCCCCCTGCCCCCTCTTCCCCCCTTCTTCGCCCTGCCCGCCGCCCCTCCGCCTGTCCCGCCTCCCCGCCCTTCGGGCTGCCCTCCGCGTCGCGGCCCCTGTCCTCGGTGTCTGTGCGCCTCGTTTCGCTCCTCTCCTGCGCCGGCCCCCCGTCCCCCCCCCTCTCCCGTCTCCCTGCTCCGTCCGGCGCCTCTCCTCTGTCCGCGGGGGCCTCCCTTTCCTCTCTCCCCCCTCCGCCCTCTCTCCTCTCCCTCCCTTGTGTCTGCCTTTTCTGGTTTCCCTTGGTGCCCCTCCCCTCCTGCTGCGCCGCCCTTCTCCCTTGGTCCCCCGGTTCTCCCTTCCGCGGCGCCCTTTTTCTTTCCCCCGTCTCCCCGTCGGCCTTCTTCTGCCCCGCCCGGCCTGCGCGGGTCCGCTCCCCCGCTCCTTTTCCTCCCCCTCCCGTTCCGGTCTCGGTCGCTCTCGTTGTGCCCGCCCTCTTCCTCGCTCCTTCCTGGGTCGCGCCCCGGCGGCTGCCCTCTCCCCGTTCCCCTCCCGTTGCTTCCCTGCCGTCCGGCTCCGGTGTCTCGCCCGCCCTCCCCGTTTCCGCCGTCCCCCTCGCCCCGCTGGCCTCCCCTCTTTCTTTCTCTGCCTCTTTCCTTTGCTTTTTTCCCCTTCTCGCGCCGCCTCCCCTTTCTTCTTTTTTCTTCCTTTCGCCTCCCCCCCCCGCCCCCTCGTGGTCGGCCGGTTCTCGCCGCCCCCGCCCTTGGCCTTTTTCCTTTCTCCCTTGGCCCCCTTCGTTTTGTTCTTCCTCGCTTCGGCCCGGGCCCCGCCTCCCTGCCCGCCCCGCCCTCCCTTCGTTCTTCTTCCCCGTTTCCGCTGTTCCCTGCCTCGCCTTCGCCGGGGCTCTCTCGCTCGGCGCCGTCGCCCCCCCTTCGTTTCTTTGCCTCCCGCTTTCGGGGGGCCCCTTCCCGCCTTCCGCGCCCTCTTCCTCCCCCCCCTCCCCGCTTTGGTTTCGGCTCCTCGCGCTCGGGCTCGTCCCCGCGCCCTTTTCGTCGTTTGTGGCTCCTTCGCTCCCCGCCCTCCTTCGTGCCCGCGTCGTCGCCTGGGCCCTCTCCTCTCGTTCTCGTCGCTTCCTCCCCGCTCTGTCCCCGCGCCCGCTGCTTCTTCCTCGTCCCTCCTTGCCCCCCTCGCTCTCCCCTCGGCCTTGTCTTTCTCTGCTTTCCCCTGCGTTCTCTCCCTCTCCCGCCGTCGCCGCCTCCCGTGGCCTCCTTTCCCCGCCTTTCCCGGCGTTCCTTCTCCGGGCCCGTCGCGTCGCCCTTCCTCTCCCTCCCGCTCCCGTCGTCCCCTCCTGCCTGCGTTCCCGCCCCCCGCTTTCTCCCCTTCGTTTTTGTTCTTCCGCCCCGCTCCTCCCTCTGGCTTCTCGCCCCCCCTCCTCTGTGTTTGCGTTCGGCTTCCCCTTCTGTTCCCGTCCCCCCGCGTCCGCCTCTTTCTTTCTCGTTCTCCGCCCCGTCGTTCTCGCCGTCGCCTCGGTTCTTTCCCCTGTTTCTCCTTCTTCCGCCCGGGTCCCCCGCTCCCCTCCGCGCTTGTTTTCTCGCCCCCTCCTTCCTCGTTGTTGTTTCCCGGTCCCTCTCTTCCCCCGTCTGGCTCCTCTTTTCCTTGTTCCCTCCTCCCTCGCCTCCTTCCCCTCCTGTTTCTCTCCTCCCTTCGCTCCCCCGCTTGCCTCGGGGCCCCCGCCTCCGCCCCGCTCGCTTGGCTTTCCGCCCCGCTCGTTTGGCTTTCTCCCTGGTTTGTTTTCGTTTCTTCCTTCTCCCGCCCCTCCTCGTTCTTCCGTCTCCTTCCTTTTCCCGCTCTTCTCCCTCGGCTTTTTTTCTTTTCTCTTTCCCTCTGTTCTCTCTCCTGCCCTTTTGTCCCTTTCCTTGCCCGGGTCCGCTCTCGCTCCTCCGCTCGCTCTCTTTCTTTCTCTCCCCTGCCCGTCTGCTTGTCCCCCTCGGGCCCGCCTTTTTTCCCTTCTCCTCGCTTGGGTGTCTTGTGCCGGTTCTTTTGCGTCCTCTCTCTGGCCCTCCCGTTGCTCCCTTCTTCCCCCTGTTTCGCCCCCCTCGGTCCCTTCCCCCTCCCCGTTCCTCGTCCGTCTTTCCCTTGGCCCTGCCCCCCCCTTGGCTTTTTTCTTTCCTCCCCTCGTCTCTTTTCGCTTCGCTCTTCCGCCGCCCGGCCGGCCCCGCCGTTCCTCCCTCGCCCTCCCTTCTCCCCTCTCGTCCCTGCCCGTCCTCGTCCCTCCTCCGGCCTCTCCCCTTTCTCCCCTCTCTTTCCCCTCGCCGTCCCGTCTTTTCGTTTTCCGTTCCTCTCTTGTCCTCCTTTTTCCTTCGCCGCGTCTTTTCTCTTCTTCTTCTCCCCCCTTTTCTCTTCTTCCTCTTCCTTTTCGCCTTCGCCCTTGCCCCCCGGTCTCGCCGCTGTTGCCTCGCCTCCCCTTTTCTTTTTTCTCTTTCCTCCCTTCTTCTCCCCCGGGCCCCCGCGCCCCGCGGCGCCGCGGGGTTCGTCCCCGCTCTTTGCTTGTCTCTTTCCTCTTCTTCCTCCCTTCCCCTGTCCCTCCCTCGCCTGCCCCCGGGCCGGTCCCCGCCTCCGGCCCCCCGCTTCCTCTCTCTCCCTCGCCCTGCCCCCGCCCCGCCCCCTCGTGTCCTTCGTCCTGGTGCCCCGGCGCGCTCTGTTTTCCCCTCTCGCCTTGCCCCCCTCCCTTGTTTCTTTCTTGTCCTCCCGCTCCTGCCTCTCTGCTCCGCGGCCTCTGTCGTTCCGGCCCGGTTCTCCTTGTCCCCCTCGTCTTTCCGTTCCCTTGCGTTCTCCCCTGCTCCGGTCCCTCCGCTTTTCCCCTTTCTTCGCCTCTTCCCTTCCCCCCCCCCCTCTTCCTCCGCCTTTCCGCCCCCTCCTTTCTTTTTCTTCTCTCTCCTCCCTCTTCTTCTGTTCCCCTCTCTTCCCTGCGCCCCCCCGCCGCCCTGGGCCCCCCTTGTGTCGCTCCCTCGCCGCCCTCCTGCTGTGGCCCCCCCCCCTCCTTTTCTCCCCTGCGCCTGTCGCCTCCTGGCCGGGCTGTGGCGCCGCTTGGTCGCGCGTTTGTTTTGGGTCCCCCTGTCCCGGGTTCCCCTCCTGTCCTCCCTCCCTCTTCCTGCTCCTTTCCGCCGTCCCGCGGGCTCGCCTGCGCTCGCTTCGCCTTGGCTCTCCTCTTTCCTTTTTGTGTTTCTGCTCCTCTCCCTCCCCCCCGTCTTGGGTTCTCCCCCTCCTTTTCTTTCCCGCCTTGTCTGTTCGGCTCCCCCGCGCTCTTCGTTCCGTTCGGTCGCCCGTGGGTCTCCCCCCCGCTGTCGTCGGTTCCCCTCCTCCCGCGCGTGGTTTTTTTCTTCTTCGCTCTGCCCTCGCTTCCGTCCCCCTTGGCCCTCCCTTCGGCCTTTGCCCCCCTCTGGCTTCCCTCCCGGCCCGGCGGCGGTCCCTCCCCCCCGCTCTCTTCCTTCCTCCCCGGTCCCCTGCTCCCCCGCCTGTCTTGTCCCTCTGCCGTTCCGCCTCCTCCCGCCCCCGTCCTCGGCCTTCGCCCTCCCCCGCTTCCCCCTCGCCCCCTTCCCTCCTTTCCCTTTCTTTGCCCGCCCCCCGCCGTCCTCTCTCTCCTCCCTCTTCCTCCGCCTTGCCCTGCCTCTCCCTGCTTGGGCCTTGCCCCTTGCGGCCGTCGTGTCCCTCTCGCCTGTGCCCCTTGGTTTCTTTTTCTGCCTCGTTCCTTTCCCCTCTTCCTTTTCCCTCCGTCGTCTTTTGTTCCCCCCCTCCCTCGCGCTGCGGTTCTCGTTCCCGCTGCTCGTCGCCCCCCCCTCCCTTGTTCTCGTCCGCCTGCCGGGGCTCCCTGCCCTTTGTTTTTTCTCCCTCTGTTTCTCCCGCCCTTCCCTCCGTTTCCTTTTTGCCCTCGGCTCCCCCCCTCTCCTTGCCCGCCTCCGTTCCCTTGCCCCTTTGTTCTTCCTCTCTCCTTCTCTCCGGCGCTCCTCCCGCTCCCGTCTCCGTCCGCGGTCTCTCCCCTCGCTTTCTCGTCTGTCCCTCTCCCTCTTCTGCGCTTTCCCCCCCCCCTCCTTGCGTCCCTCTTCGGTCCCCTCCTCCCCGCCCCGGCTCCTGTCCCTTCCTTCCCCCCTGCCCCTCTTTTTGCCTTCTTCTGGCCTCCCCTTCGCCCCTTCTTTCTCTTTTGCTCCTTTCTTCTCTTTTTCCCTTTCTCGCCTCTCTTCTTGCTTTTCGCGCCCCGCCTCCGCCTCTCCCTCCCCTTTTGCCTTTGCTTTCCGTTTCCCTCCTTCGCTTTGGTCCTCGGTTCCTTCCCCTCCTCTCTTGCCCCCCTGCGCCTCCCCTGTTCTTCCCGCTCCTCCCCCCCGCTTTTTTTGCTTCCCCTCCGTTTTCCCCCTCCTCCTTTTTCTTTTTTTTCTCCGTTCCCCCTTTTCTCTTCCCTCTTCTCCCGCCTCCTCCTTGTCCCTCCCTCCTTCGCCTTTGCTCGCCTCTCCGCCCGCCTTCCCCTTCTTTCTCTCCCTCCCCCTTCCTTCTCCCCCTCCGCCCCGGGCCTTTTTCGCTCTCCCCTCTCCTTCCCCCCCCTCCCCGTGTGGGCCTCTCCTCCTCTCTTTCCTTGGCCGCCTTTTCTCTTGCCTGCGGCCTCCTTTTCCCTCCCCTCCCGCCCCGTCCCGCCCCCCCCCCGCCCTTCTTTCCCCTTCCTTTCGCTCCTGCTTCCCTTGCGTTGCTGTGTCCGCGCCGGCTCGTTCTCCTGCTTCGGTCTCCTCTCCGCCGCCTTCGTCCCCTCTTGCTGCTCTCCCCCCTTTGCCGTGCCTTGCCCTTTCCTGCTCTCCTTTTTTCCGGCCTCGCTCCCCTTTGCCTGTCCCCGCCTCTGTGGCGCTCCGCCTGTCTGGCCGCCCCGGCGCCCGTTCTTTTGCTGCTCTTCTTCCCCGTCTTCGCTCCTGGGTCCTTCCTCGCCTTCCCCTCCCTTCCCTCTTCCTTGCTGGTTGGCTCTTCGTCCGCCCGGTTTCGCTTCTGCTGTGTTTGGCCGCCCTCGGCCCCCCGCGTCTTTCCCCGCCCGCCGGCCGGGCCTTCCCTTCCTCCCTGGCCGTTTTGCTCCTTTGGCCCCCTT